TTCTTACTCATGTGGCGTAGTCGTTTATGCCACAATTCAACTGTACTGTCATTTTCCGCTACACTCAAAGTATATTGGGAGAGTTTCGCATGCATCACATACAGCTTTCGGTCTTTAGCTGCCACAAATGAACCTTTTGTGAGCTTCCACTGACCATTTCTGAAGGTGATATAGAAACCTTCATCATCAAATCTACCAACCGAGATTTGGATGCATGCTCCAAAAGCCCATTCCTCATCGGTCTTGTCTTCCAGTTTAGTTCAACTAAATAAACACAGACAAATGCATTTGATTACCATAAGGGAGATCTCTCATTTCTCCATATATGGTAATTCCGCCATTTAGGACTGATAAGTGCGCCTTGTCCATTTTGACTTGCGCAGAAAATCATCACCAAATAAAACCGGTAAACGGTGGAACAATAGTATACGTGAAATTAGACCATGATAGTAACAGTATACTCGATAGAACTAGTATGAACATAAACTGTACAGTACATAGTTCACTATGCGTGAAACCAACATAAACCGTATACGTGAACAATAGTATACGTGAATAGTGACCATGAATAGTAACAGTATACTCGAATAGTAACTGTATGTATGAACAGTAACTGTACACGTACATAGTACTATGCGTGAATAGTGCTGGGCTTACTTCAAACGGACGCAGCAACATAACGCCAATAGTACTGTTCAACATCAACTTTGAATTACTATTTAACTATTCATCACTAAGTCGATTCTGCAACGTCTTTCCGAGCGGACAACACCAATGAACTCGTCGTAATTTTCTCTTCGTCGTGTATATTTATTTTCAAAATATATCCACGGATCCGGTACCGCTATCTGACCGGCTGGACCTGTCAAAACTTTCGGCTTTGATACTACTTGTTAGGGATCAGCTCTGATACCAGTTGTTGGGCATCAGCTCTCATACCACTTGTTGGGCCCTTTCAATCAATTAAGAAAAAATTAACGCTGCCACTATGAAAAATAATAGGTACACAAAGAGAGTAATACAAAAATAGTGGCACACAACAAGCGTTTCCCAAGAATAGTAGGTACACGTGTGTTTTATTTTTTCAAATGTATGTGGGTCCCATATGTAGGAGGACCTCACAACAATCTCATGAGCCAAAATTCTTCTAAATATTCAGACATTTTGTGATTATTTTGAAGCAATTCAATTAAATTAATCCTACTGGATAGTCATGATTGTACATTAACAAATTGCCATGAGGAAAATGGAATTACATTGCAAGAGAGCAGGACAATGGCGGTAAATAGAAAATAGTAAGAGCATGCACGCGAAATAGGAGAATTTAATGAGGGGAATCTTTGTCTGAGTAGCTAAGTGATAGCAGTCATTCTTGTAAATAAATGTGTTCTGATACACTCCAATTCGTTCCTCACCTAATTTACTCTTCTTATTAAAGCTGTGCCCACCCTCCATCCTTTCACATTTACTGCTCCCAACTAACATTTACTTTAATTTAATTTATTCATAGCCAAAAATGCACTTAATCTTCATAAATAAACAACTAAAAGCTTACTACCCATTCAAACAAACGGAGCAAGAAATAAAAGAAAGGTTAGGTTCGTAGAGCAATGAAATTAACTGTGTAGAATTTTATTTTTAGTTTCATCAAATTATTTAATTTTTTTTACATTGAATTAATTGTCTCTTTATTTTTGTTGGTCAACATAAATTTTTGTTATAAAAAATAAAAAAAAGGTGAAATGATTAATATTTTTCTACAAAATTAACCATACGCCATCCTTGCAAAAGGTTCACTTCTCATCAACACCATCAGGAGTAATATATTATTCTTTCTATTTTAATAACAAAAAATATATATAGATAGAAAAAAAAAAATGATTGCAGATATATGAGCAATGAATATAGAGTATTTAGGCATTTGTTCTTACTTCTTACATAAAACTCAGAGTCGGAGAAGAATTTATCACGGTGACGTGCATGGCGTTTCAGTTAGCGTGAAATATGGGAATGGACACTTCATTGAAAAGACAATAAAAGCCTAGGCAGCTAGCTACTTGATTCTTGCATGTAAGGATAGTTTCGAAATCTAGAAATTCTTTTTACAACTGAAAAATAAAATTCAAAGAAATTGTAATTTTATAAGACGACTTCGGATTTAATAAATTAAAATATACTTTATCAGAAACGTCAATAATAAGCAGATGTGACAAAAATAAAATAAAATAAAATCAAGAACAGATTTGATTTGGAGAAAGAAAAAATCCCACACTCACTCACCTATAGATGGATCGATCTGGCTGCTTGTGCAGAGGAGAAGTAATCACAAGAAGCGACAGAAATGAAAGAACACTGAGATATTGGCACGGCTCAATCAAAGCTAAACCACCGTTAAATTGTACGCTTAACATCTCAAGCTTCAACCAGAGTTTTTGTCTGAGTGAACCGAGCCAACATCACAATGACACTTTCAAGCATATAAGAGTCTGAAGAAGAAGAAGAAGTAGTGTGTTTTTGACGTGAGAAGAATTGGGAATGTCTGGGTTGAAATTTAAAGAGGAAGAGAGAGAAAGAGATAGGTGGTTTAGCTTTAGCAGGTGCGCATTAAAAACCCTCGAGTACCAAGACCCGCATCAAGGACCAGAGCATTGAATGGCAACCCACGAGCTATGACTCCATAATATTCTCTATCTTAATTTCTCTCTTTCTCTCTCTCTCATTAGAGGACCATTATGGTGCAGGCCCCTCCCCTCCTCATTCTGTGTATATCTTTGTTTTTGACACAGTCGAACAAACCAGAAGAACAGACTGCAAAATTTTTTAATGAGGGAATCCCATAAGGTCATAACTCTTCTTCTCTCACTCTCAACTGCATCTTAATTACTACTTGCGGAATCTCATCTACTTAACGAGACCATTTTGTCCTTTTCTTACCATTTAGCTTTGCTTTCTGGCGTACTCCTAGTTTGGTATTGCTGCTTACCTATCTTTGATTTTTCATTTCTCATTTTTCAAACAGACAAATTAATGGAATTTAGCTGTTCCGGGATGCTTTGCTGTTTGGATTTGGGCCAATGCACACATCGCAGACCCTTTCTTTAACTATGTTCTCAGCCCTACCGTTGGGCTTTAACTACATAGACTATCTTTCTTATCGGACTCTTTATTTCGTCTTTTTTTGCTTTGGGCCCAACGGGACGCCCATTTTCTCATTCTTTATTGGGGTGGACCCACGCAGGGAGTTATGGTCCCATACTTATCAATATATATATATATTAATATTATATATATACTATATATATATAATAATATTGCCCCTTATTAAATATTGCCCCCTTATAAACTTCTTTCAATCCTTTACATTTTAAACTTTCAATGCAAATATATATATTTTACATTTTAAAAAATTCATTTAGAAATATATTTTTTTAGAATTTTGGTTTAGCTATATTCAAATCCATAGAGTGGAATTCATAAAATTTAAATCTTCTGTTTGTTTATATCAAACAAAAAAAATTTGAATTTGTAAATAAAATTTATAAAATTTTATGGAATTTATTTATCCCAAATAAGGGATATATATATATAAGTAGCATTATTTACCACAAAGTAATTCACATCTTAATCTTCTGAGGGCCGATTTGGTTTCGATTTAAAGCTGGCAGCCCACAAGTTTAGCCTAACGTTTCAAAACTATACAGCTTTTGGGTCACCAAATGCACAAAGGTGATGAGAGTCATCTTCGCTGAAAGGCTTTCAATTTTGGGCTTTAATGGTTTCAGTGGAATCCTAAAATGAAAGGCCCAAAAATATTATCATGGGCATTTGACCATTTCCTGGTTTGCCGGATGGAAAGGTCACTAATTAGTAATTCCTCCAAGGTTTTAGTGTTGCTTCCGTCTAATGAGTAATGACGCATACTAGTCGAGATTAGACGACCATGATGGGAAAGTTGGAGTGCGGGTGAATTTACAGCATCGTACTATGAGGTCTAATCTAATCATTCTTTTTGGACCGCCCAAAAGCCTACTACTACTGGGCCCCGCGAATCCATAGAAAAAGTGGGGTCAACGTCTGCAGTGAGGGATCACCATCTCGTTTCCATATAGGCTAACTTCCTGGAGTGGGCACAGCATCTTTCTCACCCATCACGGCTACATGTACTTCAAATGAAGTAAGTGAAAGTACAAATTGGTGTCCGCAACTAATACATTGCATTGCTCTGCTCAGTATGGCTCTCCATGTGCCGCTACTTCTCGCTCTAGTCAACCATTGATTACAAATTATTTTAAGCCAATAATTGCAATAATTTGAATCTTTCTAGAATATCACATCTTTGAGAAGCCAATTAATTAAAAATGGCGGTGTGCGTAACATCCCTTCCTATGGAGAAGGAGATTCACCGAGTCAGCCGGCTTGGAAAGCAACCAAGAGCCAGATTCAAGTCCATGAGATTGAGAAATAATATGACAAAATGGATATTTTAACTGCTAAATTCCCATAATAGAGAAAGCATTTTAATCCGAATTGGTGGATAATATTAATATGTGTGTTTAAGTTAAAGTGGAAAAATGAGAAAACAGAGCAAAACTATTGGCCAGGAGTGAAGGTGCCTAATAATATCAGCAGATCATCTATTCTAATGGATAAATTCCTTTTATAATGGCATATCTTTTGTTTTTTTTTTTAATTAATTAGGTGATCGCATGAATATAAATAATACGATAGGGTGACGTTTCTTTTAATTTATCAAATTAATAAAAAATTTTGCGATGGAGATTTGAGAGCAGTCGAGGTATCGCACTCTTGAGGACAAATATTCTTTTGTTTTTAATTGTTATGATTATATGGATAAATAAGGATACGCGGTGATATAAGCAAAGCAAGAAAGCATGGATAGAATCCACGTAGATACGCGCTTGTGGGTGCGCATTACACTATTATTTAACGTTCTTCTCGAAAATTAATCCCATTTGTTTTTCTTTGTATAATATGGGCAGAAGAAGAGGAGAGAGGGACTGGGAAACAAAAATAGAGTTGAGGGAAAAAAGAAAAAGGCGCCTTTCTAAAACCAAAAATTTAATTTTCTCTTGTCCATGCAACGATAGATACTAAAATTTGCTGTGTCGTTTAGTTGTTAAAAACTAGCTGATTCACGTCAACTGTGCTTCTGGAGTGATCAGTTGATCACTGCTACAGTAATACTCTTCTTTAACCATTTGCAGAGCAACCTGAACGCTGTTCTTTTTTTTTTTTTTTGGATGGGAGATACGGAGAGTTGCAGTAGCAGAGCAGTGGACTTTGTACCGCGTCAGAGTCGAAGCTGGAGGCAAAAGGTTGAGGTATACAACCAAGTCCTTCGTCGACTCAAGGACTCGAATGAGGAAGAGGCCTTGCTTCCTGGCTTTGAAGACGAGCTATGGGCTCATTTTTGTAGACTTCCAACTAGGTAATCCAAACTCTAGCCTTCCTGTGATTCAATTCTGTTTCGTTTGTTTAGGATAGTAAGGAAAACTGAGAGCAGAAGTGATTATGGTTTTCGAGAAGAGAGTGCGGAATACTGGAATGGACGAAGAAGAAATCAGAAATTTGATAATTTAGAATTTTGTTTTCATGCAAAAACAACATAAAAAATGGTACAATAATTGATTGTATCAGTAGATTATTAACATACTTATTCTTTCTTCTCTTGGTTTGGAGAGGAGATGCCTGGAATTATGAGGATTCTATTTCTTTCTCTCTCTCTCTCTCTCTTTTTCCCGGTATGATGGTTTCTTCCTTTCCAAACAGAGCATAATTGCATATTTTGTTCCTTGATCCTTTGATTTTCTCGCAGTAATAAGCCTGGCATTTGATATTTGGTAGATACAATTTGTTAATAACGGTTAGGTTTCGTCTCCACTCAATAAGTCCATGTCTTTTGGATTCTTTTGCCTTCCTTGGTCCAATGAGAGCAGCGGATCGGGCCTTTCCTTTTATTTAATCATCACTTTCATTTTCAGTTAATCGTAAACACTTGATTGGCCAGACAAGTATTCATGATAGTTGTAAATTCGTAATTTAGATTGTTTAGTTTCTTTGCTGGTGGTGTATACAGTTATCTGATTGCTTATTTTTCAGGTACGCACTGGATGTGAATGCGGAGAGGGCACAGGATGTACTTATGCATAAAAGATTACTTAAACAGGCACATGATCCTGTTACTAGGCCTGCAGTTGGAGTCCGCCTTGTGCAGGTAAGGATGCAAGAATTCAGATATTGATTCCTTGGGGACGTTTGGTATTGGCTTTTGATACTTTCCTTTTGGCTTATGCAGTATTCTTCTAGATTCTACGCGAGTTTATATATTATTTTATACTCAATTATTGATAGAGTGGTTGTGCCTCAATACTGTTATTTATGTGATAAAATATTTTGGACGATTTGCCTTATATTAACAATAAGAATAATAATAACGTTACAGGCTTGTTCTTTCAATTGGTAGATATCTACTTGTTTTCTTGTTATGAGGGATGAAGCTTATTTCTGACTTGTTCACAATTTTTGAAGATTAAGTCCTTGAGCCATCTATGGATTCAATCTATGGGTTCCTTTCCCATCATTAGTTGGCCCTTGGGAGTGGGTCGGTGGAAGCTGACTGGAAATTTGGAATAGATATTTAAATTTTAATCCTCCCAAACTGTAAGTGGTGAATGAACTTACCAAGAAGATATTTTCTTGCACAATTGACTTGAAGAAAAGAAAAATGGAAATTCATGGTAGAATCTTAGCTCATGTTGCAAAAACTTGCAATGGATAACCTAGTCTATTCATAATTTGCCAGGCAAATTCATGTCAACTTTCATAAACCTTTGCTCCTTGCTTGACAAAACTAGTTTCTTTGCAGTTTTTGTATCTCTAAATTTCTTTTCATGTTATTAGAGTTTTTCAAATGAAAGTGTGGCAATCATGAACACAGCTGATCTATTGACCTGAAAACTTGGTGGCTGTTCCTAAAATTTCTTTTTTGGTTGATGTTAATAATTTGATTATGTATTAGCCAGTTGATTTCCCTTTTTTATCCCCATCTTTATTTCAAGCTCATATGGATCCTAAAGTGGGATTTGTCATTTGCTATTAGCATCTATTTACCTTTTTGCTAATTCATATGATGTTAGTTATATATGTTACCTTTCTAGTGCTATTTATCACATTCTGATTTAGGCTTGAAAATTTTTTGCTTGGCAAAATGCATCGTCGCATTTATCTATTATGCAGGTTCGTTCTATCTGTGATGATTGTGTTGACTCAATTCATTCACAACACTCAAGAAAAGTGGAACTTCAATGCTCTAATCATCTGAGCAAGCAGAGGCATGGACTTAAAAATATTATTTTGGGTTTAATTTTCTCAATGGAAATGATCAACTGATGGATAACGTACAATTTTTTTTTTTTTTTGCCTCTTTCTCTCGTTCTTAGCATTCTTCCACCACCACCAGCCTTTGGTTCATTGCCTGAGCTTGAACATGTATGTGAAGCTCGGGATAAGGATGCCACCATGATTGCCAGTCCAGTTTATACTCGGTAATAGTTCTGAAAGTTCTCTTCTGACTGTTAACTCAAAATAATCTTGCTGTCGTTTCAAAGTCATTACTGCTTTACCCCGATTAGGCTTTCATGCACATAGAATTTCCATATTTCATGCAAAAAATTTGTATCGCCTCCAACAGATGTAGATGATTAATTGAAGTCCATGAGAAATCTGATTAGAAATATCAAATGTCTTCCTGGTTTGTAGGTATTTACCTGCTGGTGAAAAAGGGATTTGCAGCCTCATCATAATGTTTTCTCATATTGATCATTTGGGGAATTAAATGGCAGAACATGAAAGTTCCCAGAGTTCTGTATAGTTATGAGCAGTTGGCATGTTTTATCTGTTGATTTCCTTATGCTAATATTTACTGCACAAAAATGAAAATGTCAAACTTTGGTCTACAATTTATTGTTGACAGTGTTTTCTATTCCGATATTTTATTATTGGGATAAATGCTCAGCTGCTTTTTGTTTTTATTGATATAGAAAATTTATAAAAATTTTCTTGATTTTATAGGATGTAGATTGTGTTGTTTTGTTCTTAATTGTTTTTGATTGTATTAATCCTGTTGTTTCTTTGAATAATGAACTATTCTTGTATCCATCCTGTTTTTAGTGCATAAAACTTTAGGGTTATGTCTTTAGCAATAAAATATTGCTATTAATTTCTGGAAGTTGCTCATATTCTAAGTAAGATAATACTGCTATGTTTCTATGCTTCTGTAGGCTGATGCATGAAATTACAATTTCGACTAATGATAAACCAAAACTTCTAAGTCAGGTAGCTGATATATACTTTTAATTATCTTAGCTGGTTTCTTAATCATTTATGGATGCATCTTTGTTGCGTTCATCTTGAGTGAGCACATTCTTGATATTCAGTTATCACTGTTGCAGGCAAGTATTTATCTGACTCTTGGTGTAGTATTGCCTATTTGGACATGCTTTGCATATAGACACAGGAATAGACTTTGAGCTTTTTGGAGCATTTGACCTCAGATTTGAATTTTTGAACAAGGACTATGCAGCGCAAGTTTTTCCATTCATCTTCAGCTTTTACTTCCTTTAACTCCATTTGAGAGCATCTTCTTTTGAATTCTCATGTTATCCATTATGCTAAATATCTATCTTGCACCGTGGGTGCTTTTATCATTTGCTTTTTCTTGAGTTCCAAAATTGTTGCTTATGTCCTTCACTTCTGATTTTAGAAGTCTTCTTATAATCTGATAGAATCCACCTCAAAAGTCAAAAATGGGTTTCCATACTGTCTCTTCATTTATGATCTGCCATTCTTCTCTAAAATGACCTGCACTGGTTGCATATCTACCTGCAATTTTCACCTGTTAGAGAATATAATTGATCATTTGATCTGCTGCAAAAACTCTTATAGTATACTATTGTGAAGTTTTATGTTAATAATCGACCCCTATTTTTGTATTTTCAGTTGACTTCCTTGCTGTCTGAGATTGGTTTGAACATTACAGAAGCACATGCTTTTTCCACAATAGATGGCTACTCCTTGGATGTGTTTGTTGTTGATAATTGGGCACATCAGGTATTGTTGCCCCCTCCTCTGTTTTCCACCCATAGTCATTAGTGATATTCACATGGTTTGCTAAATTTTAGTAAAACTTTTATACATGCATTGCAGCAAATCAGTGCAAGTCAGATATTTTCTTTAAAGATTTAATCAGTTTAATCTCTTAATTTTAAAGATAGTTAAAATTGCTGAAGCCAAATTCTAATATAGATCCCTCTCTCTCTTCACATAATGATTGACTTCTTTGCTTCCATTCATATTTGTGATGGACAGGAGATTGAGCAGCTGGGGAATGTGCTGCTAAGGGAAATTCAAAAATTTGAGGTAGTCATTCTTCATGCTACTTGTCTGTTGCAGCTTAAAATAGATATTAGATTGTAAGAGATATTCTGATTGGGAAAAATAATGCTCTTCTTATTTTTCTAAATGTGTTTGCATTAAAATATTTCATGGGAAATCATGCTGTGTTTCTGCTCATTTTTCACTGCAATAAGTGCCAGAATAAAATGACTAGACTAGAAAAGAAAAGGACTATTTAATGTATTGGGGAACTGAATATAAGATGTTGCAACCTTGTAGCTGTTGCCATCCTTATTTGTCCAACTGCAAAGTTATTACCAACTTTGTCTTTCACTTTAGGCCTCCTCATTTAATCAGACTGATTTTATTAAGAATAAAACTGGAAACAGTTGCTATGTATAGAACTCTGGCATGTTATGGTTCACTGTTCTTTTCATATTGTAATGTTAATATATGGTAAATGAGCAATAGTAATTATGGTGAAGATTTTAGTGGTGCATCTGTTTATACTTGATAATTGAGGTGCAATGCAGAAGAGTACTCTCTCGAAATCCAATGTCATCTATCCTGTTCTGGAGCAAGAGCAGAAGGGGATGATCAATTTTATCTCTAATCATGTCATTGTACCTGCTGACCAAACAGATGTCTGGGAAATTGACGTGGGCCTGCTGAAATATGAAAACAAAATTGCATCAGGATCCTATGGAGATCTGTAAGCTCTCATAATGTAATATAATCATCATCAGCTTTGTATCAGTGTGTGTTAAATAATATGATTTAACTGGAACAGGTATAAGGGTACATTTTGTAGTCAAGATGTTGCTATTAAAGTTTTTAGGACTGAGCATCTAAATGATAAATTGAGAAGGGAATTCGCTCAAGAAATCTTTATCATGAGGTTGGTTAAGTATAAAATTTTAATTTCTGCCGACTCTTGTTTCATCATTGTGACCTCCCTTATCCGCTTCTTCTTTGTCTATGTTTTATACACCTGGATATTGCTCATATGGATTCCCATGTCATCTGTAAAAGAAATTAGAGCCTTATCGGACACAAATGTAACACATGCAATGTTTACATAGTATCAAGTTAAGTAATATCATGTATAAACTGGATCTATAACTAATTCCTAGTTCTTTTATCTTTAGAATGTGACTACTGCATGCAATTATTTTTTGCACCACAACCGAAGGCCAAATGTCTTTAACATTGTTTGCATTTTCTGATGCCATTTGCTTTTAATATGCTAGATTGATTCCCTTGGGGATCCTTGGAAAATATATGCTGCCATCTTCATGCTTCTGTAGCTGTTAGGAATTTCATGTTCTTTGCCTTTACACTGATTTGAATACACAGGAGAGTTCGGCACAAAAATGTTGTTCAATTTATTGGTGCATGTACCAGACCTCCAAGCCTGTGCATTGTGACAGGTAAATTTGATGTGTATACCTTTTTTATTGAACATGAATAAATTTAGTATGTTGAATTCAAGCTTTGTTTTCCTGCTCAGAATTTATGCATGGTGGAAGCATGTTTGACTTCCTGCATAAGCAAAAGCAAAGTTTTAATTTCCAGTCCTTACTCAGAGTAGCAATTGACGTTTCCAAAGGAATGAACTACTTGCACCGGAATAATATAATACACAGAGACCTGAAAGCTGCCAATCTCTTGATGGATGAAAATGGAGTAAGTGATTCACTTTTACAGCATTTATTTTGCTCTCTAATTTAGTTTTCTTGTTCTTATTCTTGTTCTCCTGAGCTCTGAAACTGCGTACTCCATTTTCTGGTGGTTACATGTTTGTCTTGCCATGGAAAGTCCAAAATTCATTTCATAAAGGGTAAAGAATTTGAATTAGTGTTGTTATCTTCGCAATGCTATTCTGTACTTTAAGGACAATGTTAAGAATATTTTTCTGTACTTGTTTGTTCCCAAAGCCTTTATCTTACCATATAATCATAGATTAGGGTCAAGTCTCACATGACTGATTAATTTCTTTTTCATTTCATATTGTAGTTCTTTTGTAATAACTTATGATATCTATACCAAGCTATTGCCCTGAACTTGGCCTATCTTACAATTCCAAATGTCTTGGCTAACAGGTTGTGAAGCTTGCTGATTTTGGAATTGCTAGAGTGCAAGATCAGTCTGGCGTGATGACAGCTGAAACTGGAACGTATCGCTGGATGGCTCCAGAGGTTGGTGTTCTGTGAGTGCTGATTTATGAATATCAACCATCTCCTTTTTCTTTATTATCTTTGAGGGGAGACCATCATGTTTCCTTGATTGCAAGCTTATTGCTAAATGTCAAATTGTTATATAGGAAGCTATAGTGATGCCAAAGAATGTGAAAAAAACATTCTGGTTCCTGCCCCAACTCTCTTTTGCATCAAGTATGATGGCTATTTAAGAAATGATTTCTGTGACAAAAAAATTAGTCTCAAAAAGAAAATTAAAGGAGAATGACAATACAAAGGAAACTCTGATTCTGGTCTTCCGAGAAATGAATTCAGGACCACTAAACTACATTTATATTGAGTTTTTTAATGTTTTACTATGTTGAGGATTAGAGAAATCTCGATGGGGAATGGTGCAAAATGGGAGAATATAACAATTAGACGGTTAAGGCCACTGGTATGGTTAGTGTATTTATAGTGGGGGTACTGAATCTTGGGTTTGTAATTTAACAAAGGTTGGGCTGAACAACTAAAGTCAGGACAGCAGAATTCAACTGCTTCCAGAAATACCCAAATTGTTTTGTTATTTGCTGGAGTTAGATTTAAGAATGAGTTGGTCATGGAAGTGTCTCAAGGAGTTTGATTCCTTGACCTCATTGGATAATGCCTTCAGTGGATTCTGTGTATAGGATACCTGCGAATCATGAATGTGAAAGTAAAATTTTTTAAAACTTTACAGTAGCAGGCTCTGTAAACTTCAAGTTATTCTGAATACAATGAATAGTGTGATGATGAATATCAACTAATGTTTTGTGCCTTTAGGTTGCTTCATCCCAGCTCTCTAATGCCTGTAACCTGTTTATTTGGTGTTTGATGCATATAAAGGTTATTGAGCATAAGCCGTATGATCATAAAGTTGATGTTTTCAGCTTCAGCGTTGTGCTGTGGGAGCTGCTTACAGGAAAGGTGATACTGCAGGATACTGTGTTTTTATGGAAATCATGATCTATTCTTTTTCCATGGAGAGATTTTTTTTTCCTCCAAGTTATGATATTTATTTATCTTTAAGTTCTAATTCACCATTTCTCAGATTTCATGTCAATAAATAAATATATATATCTATATGTATTTGTGATTTATATGCCAGCTTCCATATGAGCACTTAACTCCATTACAAGCAGCAGTTGGTGTAGTCCAGCAGGTATTCCTCAATAATGTTTTTCGAAAAATCAGTAATCACGCTATCAATGTTGCTTGTTGGATATATACCAGTAATGAAAGTAACAATTGTCATTTCAGGGTCTGAGGCCTTCAATCCCAAAGCATACTCATTACAAATTGGTGGAACTTCTGGAGAGATGCTGGCAGCAAGAACCGTCTTTGAGACCTGAATTCTCTGAAATTTTAGAACTGCTACATCAGTTGGCCAGGATGGTATGGAAAATTCTGAGAATTTCCCATTTACTTCTACTTTTGTATTTAGAAAGATTAACTGATTTTATAACAGGTAGCAGAGGAAAAGGAAGACAGGAAGGAACATAAATCATCTAGAAGAGCTGTAAAAGCAATGAGGCGGGGAAGACATTGAAGCAATAGGAAGTAGGAATGTTGTATATGAGATTGCAAAGCTTTCCGTTCAACATTTTGATAAGGTCCATTTAGAAGTCTGTTCTTGAGAAACTACAATGTAAACACTATACGCATATATAGACCATAACTAAGCCCTTATGTCACCTACTGTTGAAGTGGAATTATTAGTTGCACAGTTGCTGACCAAACAGCTTAGCTTAGTCAAATCAGTTGTAATATCAGTCGGATACAGAAATGGGAAGCCAGAGAATTAAGAGTTTTATGTTTCTCCTTTCTAGTCCTCTGTTTCCCCTCTAGAGGAGATTGATACAAAGAAAGTGTAGTTTCCATTCCTTCAAACCGTAGGACTTCCTCCACCTGAACAACTGTCAGATTGTTCGAATTGAAAGGCTGGATAGCTATTCAAATTAGTTTAGGCTCGATCAGGTCGAGAATGAAAATTGACGTGGAGGCTATTCAAATTATTTTACTGATTCAGTAGCGAGATTAACTGAATCGTAGGTCTTTTTTTTAACGACTATCTGTCGTTCACGGTCGTTTCTAATGGCAGGGGAGTTCTTTCCAAGTGGATAGCGGGGAAATTTCCATCTGAACTTTACCTATGTCCACAGACAAGAATGATATAGAACAAAATTTCACACTTGTAATTTGAGCTGTTGAGCTTCAAATTCATCGCCACGCAGATTCAATGTCGGAGCAACGACCAGCTGTATGTAGGTTCACTGGAGCAGAAATAGCCAGCAAAACTTCCATCGGAATATGATTAGTTTGAGCTTGACAAGGAGTTAAATTACAAATGTTAAAGCTAATCAATCTTATTCTAGCTCCCTTGTCATCGGACGACAACGACAAACGACTGAAGAACACCAGTCATCTTCTTAAATAATCAGTCCCTTTTTTTTTTTTTCACCCGTCGTTTGATAAACAAGTTAGTCAGTCGTTTCCTAGAGCCCGGAGGACGATGAAAAAAGCCAGAACGAATTAAAACTGCAACTGCCGGCACAGCGGCTTCATCTAAAACATGGGTCCAATCCAATTGGTCTTGATAGAGTCCCTCGAGAAAAGAGTTAATGTTCTAGGCCCATAGGCCCACAGCTGATGAATCGAATGTCAGCCAACATGTCGTACGGTGACAGCGACAAATGGCTTGCAAAAATCCCGCTCAATTATCTGTCGCTTAATCTAAAGAAATCAAACTACCAGAAGAAATAAAAACAGCAATTAGGACTTAACCGAATAAATTGGCCCAATCCAATGGTTGTCGTTATAGTGGAAAACTCCAACCCAGATCTATCTAATCACATTTTGATAAGTCTAAGCCCACCGGTCGTCGAACGGCCGCGACAAAAGAATCGAAACGACCTTTCCTGGAGATGCCGTTTTCTGAACTCTTTATACCGACTCAACTAAAAGCAGACACTAACAGAATGTGCTATACTAATGGAAAAAGAAAGTCGGAGGAAGCCCAAGAGAAAAGAAACGCATTTCGACGTGACACTGTTTTGTTGATTCCTATTGTTACAACTATCTTCGACTTCCCTCATCTTTTTCTTGTACCTCATAGCATAAAACAATTCTTGGATTTGTCCATCCATTCTTTTTGTTGAAGTAGTATTGATGGGGGTTGCTTTTTTTGTTTGCATTATATGGTTTCCATGGCAAGGGATTGGGATGGGAGGTCTATGAGTTTAGTATTGCTGAAGGCTGAAGATTCTCTTTATACTATTTTCTTGGTAATTTATCCCATGAGGCTATTGTCGTCCACATAAACCAGCTCCAAAGAAGAGAATTTATCCAAAGTGTCCAAATTGTACACAATAAGATTAGAACATGTTCACCTGAAAGTACAAATTATATCGATCTTTATTCTTTATGATATCACCAGTAAGTGCCTAGTGTTCTCTAGCATCTATTCTGTTCTGCTAAGTGCCCACTAACTAACTTTGCAGTACCAGAATCCGATTTTTTTTCTTCCTAAAAACTTCATGTTTGTCTCTGCAGTAAATTTGCTGTAGCTTCCATTCTTTATATGAGTGGTTAATATTCCTAATATTACATTGTGTTTCTAGTAATTAATGGAGTCTTTGAGAAAATCCCTGAAAGCTTATCGTTTTCACACTAAGCAACAACAAGATCACCCGCAAGAAGAAAAACAAGCTCTCTTGAATAACCAAAAGGATCACCAAATGACGCAATCTCAGAAAGAAGAAGTTGTTTTCAAGATTGATGCTGATACAGATACTGCTTCTAAATCTGGAGGTGAAAGTTCAAGTGGTAAATTTGCAGGTTTATCAAAGAAACTCAAATTTGAAGACATATTAAATGTAGCTGTTCGGCAAAGAAACAAGGACTTGCCAGATCAAGGAAACAGTCGCTTTACTTCAACTGACTCGTTTAGGAGAAACTCATGGAGGTCGATATTAAACAAGACAAAATCTAGATTGATAGACCCACCTGAGGAACAATATCAAAGAAGTGATACAACATACTATGGTGGAGACTTTGAGGAAGATGAGGATCGTAACGAAGAAGAAGAAGATGGTGTCGAAGACATTCCAGAAGAATACAAGAAAATGACTTTCAGTGCATTGACAATGCTTCAACGGGTAATTCTTGTTTTTGTTACATTAGCCTTAGTTTGTAGCCTTTCCATTCCTGCAATAAGGAAGCAAACATTATGGGGTCTTTCACTGTGGAAATGGGAGATAATGGTTATGGCACTAATTTGTGGGCATTTAGTGTCTGGTTGGGGAATTAAGGTGGTTGTGATCTTCATAGAAAGAAATTACCTTTTGCGAAAAAGGGTACTATATTTTGTTTATGGTTTAAGAAAGGCTGTCCAGAATTGCCTCTGGTTAGGTTTGGTTTTGCTTGTCTGGCATTGGATTTTCAATAAAAAAGTTGAGGAGACTAAGAGTAAGATGTTGCTGTATGTAACCAGGATCCTAATATGTTTATTTGCAGGAACATTTATATGGCTCTTGAAAACACTTATTGTGAAGGTTCTCGCTTCTTCTTTTCATGTTAACACCTTCTTTGAAAGAATTCAGGAGGCTTTATTCAATCAATATGTAATTGAGACACTCTGCGGCCCACCATTATATGAAAGGCAGAGTGAAGAAGAAGAAGATTTTAAAGAAACTCTTGCTGCAAATAACAGAAGTGGAAGACTAAACAAGTGCCCCACAGTTGGGAAAAGGCACAGATTTTCTAGAAAGAATGATGAAGAGATTCTCATTGAACACTTGCATAAACTAAATCAGAAGAATATATCAGCTTGGAATATGAGGAGGATGATCAAAATTGTTCGCCATGCTACCTTTTCTACTTTGGATGAGCAAATACTTAATTCAAATATCGAAGATGAATCCTTATTTCATATCAGAAGTGAATGTCAGGCAAAAGAGGCAGCCAAAAAGATATTCAACAAGGTGGCAAGGCCAGGCTCCCAGTAAGTTAATTTCTCACATTATATAATTTCTCACATTATATATCTACAAACTAAAATTCTAAATTACTGTCAGATATATTTTCCTTGATGACATGATGCGGTTTATGGGTAAAGAAGAGGCTTTGAGGGCAATGAATCAGTTTGGAGCAACAACTGAAAATGAAGGAATAAGCAAGTTATCCCTCAACAGTTGGCTGGTAATTATTATTATTGTTGTTCTCTTTCTCTCCGCTCCATATTAATTTGTTGCCTTATTTAGCCCTTGTGAATTATTTGTCTTTCTGTTTTAGGTTAATGCATTTAGAGAACGAAAAGCACTTGCATTATCTCTGAATGATACAAAAACTGCAGTAGATGAACTTCATAACATGTTGAACATCCTTGTAGCTATTGTTGTAATGATAATCTGGTTGTTGATACTTGGAGTTAATATCACTCACTTCCTAGTCTTTATAAGCTCTCAACTTCTGTTGGTGGCTTTCATCTTTGGGAATAGCTGCAAGACAACATTTGAAGCAATCATATTCTTATTCATAATGCACCCATTTGATGTGGGTGATCGCTGCCAAGTGGATGGAGTTGAGGTATATCAAGTGCATTTTCTTTCACCATTTCATGATTTTCAGGGGCCTAACTTAATTATATTTTCACATTTTTGAGCTTCAGATGATTGTTGAAGAAATGAATATATTAACAACAGTGTTCCTGAGGTATGATAAGCAGAAAATCACATACCCCAACAGTGTTCTGGCTACCAAACCTATTGGAAATTATTATAGGAGTCCAGACATGGATGAGGCAATTGATTTCTCCATACACATTTCCACTCCACTGGAGAAGATTGCTATCATGAAAGACAGAATCAAAGAGTATGTTTTAATTAATTTCGTTCTTCTCACATTACTCAGGAACTGGTACGTACAAGCGAACATTAATTAATCAAATTGTTGCTGAAATTGCAGGTATATTGAAGGGAATAATGACCACTGGCATCCAAATGCAAACATAATCGCAAAGGATTTAGAGGACATGAACAAAATCAACATGTTATTGTGGGTTACGCATAAATTGAACTTTCAGCGGAGTGGGGAAAGGTGGAGTAGGAGAACACTTTTGGTCGAACAAATGATCAAGGTGTTCAAAGAGCTTGATATTGAGTACCGCTTGCTGCCTTTGGATGTTAACGTTCGAAATTTGCAACCTTTGAATTCGAGCAGGCTTCCCTCAAATTGGACCACTTGTGCCAACTAATTATGCTAAGAGGCTGGAGTTTTGATTATTACTTTAGTTAGTTCTCATTAATGAAACCAAATAAATATGTAAAATTGAAAGGTAATAATGCACATACTGATTCTGTCAAGCTCTTTTTTTTTTTTTTTTTTTTTACAATTTTGGTCGAAACAAATTGAATCAAGGTGTTCAAAGAGCTTGATAGTTGAGTACCGTGCTTGGCTGCCGTTTGGATTTAACGTTCGAAATTTGCACCTTTGAATTCGAGCAAGCTTTCCCTCAAAATTGGGACCACTTTTTTGTGCCAACTATTATGCTAAGAGGCTGGAGTTTTGATATACTATTAGGGTTAAAGTTCTCCATTAATGAAAAACAATAAATATGTAAAATTGAAAGGTAATAAATGCACATACTGATTCTGTCAGCTCTTTTTTTTTTTTTTTTTTTTTAGAAAATTTTTTTTTTTTTTTTTTTTTTTAGAAAATTAAGAGAAATGACATTCCTACAATACTTAATTAAAGGCCGAAAAGCCATTGGAAAGATGGGCTAACAAAGCCCAATAAACCTATTGGGGCTTTCCAGCCCATTTGGGTTCTGTTGGCAATTGGTGGAATATATTCACTATTCTGACCAACCACCACAAGCAAAGGATAGATTCCTTTCCCTTCGTGTGGCTAAGAATAAAATAGGAAGACACACACAGAGCTCACCATTACCAAACCTCAAATCATCAATTCCAATTCCCAATGGCAACACCAGTGAAGGTTTACGGACCAACATTATCCCCAGCCGTTTGCAGAGTGTTAGCTTGTCTGATTGAGAAAGATGTGAACTTTCAGTTGATTCCAATTAACATGTCCAAAGGCGAACACAAGAAGCCGGAGTTCCTCAAGATACAGGTTCTTTATCTATAATGTGTATGAATTCTTGCAATTCTCTTATCTCTTAGGCTAACTGATTTGCCTGTAACAGCCCTTTGGCCAAGTACCGGCATTTCAAGATGAGAGCATTTCTCTCTTCGGTAATTAATATTTTCTTGTTAATTAATAATCAAACTATTCTTTGATTAATAAGGATTATCTCTTAAATAATGCATTATATGTGTGTTTTGTTTTTTTAATTGGTTGTAGAATCAAGAGCCATATGTCGTTACATATGTGAGAAATATCCAGATAAAGGGTACAAAGGATTATATGGAACAAACCCACTGGCAAAAGCTTCAATAGATCAATGGGTAGAGGCTGAGGGGCAGAGCTACAACGCACCAAGCGGAGCCCTGCTGTTTCAGCTTGCATTAGCGCCGAGGATGAATATCCCGCAAGACCAAGGCATTATAAAGCAAAACGAGGAGAAACTAGGAAAAGTGCTCGACGTTTACGAAAAAAGGCTTGGAGAGAGTCGGTTCTTGGCAGGTGATGAATTTTCTTTAGCAGACCTGTCGCACTTGCCCAACACTCAGTACCTGGTGGCTGCCACTGACAGGGCAGAGCTCATAACTTCCAAGCAGAACGTGGGGAGGTGGTGGAGTGAGATTTCTAACAGGCAATCATGGAAGAAGGTAGTTGAGATGCAGAAAAATTGAGATTGGTCCCTCTTGATCCTCTGCTTCCACACAAGAGTCTGATTTCAACAGAGAGTGAGCATTTTCCAATGTTATATTAAAAAAAAATCACAATTATTTGTCTTTTGTTGGCAATTTGGTCGGCTGACAGCAGAGATAGCTGTTGCAGTCTTGACGATAAAAAGATATGTAGTTCTTTCTAAATTAAAATAAAAACGATAAAAAGATATGTAGTTCTTTCTAAATTAAAATAAAAACGATAAAAAGATATGTAGTTCTTTCTATGTAGTTCTTTCTAAATTAAAATAAAAACGATAAAAAGATATGTAGTTCTTTCTAAATTAAAATAAAAACGATAAAAAGATATGTAGTTCTTTCTAAATTAAAATTAAAAAAAAAAGTTTCCTTTTTCAGGCCACAAGAACTTTTCCCGACAGGAAAAATTTTCTTGTCAAAACTTTTCCTTGTGCACGAGAAACCAATATTTCGTTTTCTGGCTGGTGACGGTAACACTCCCAGCGCTTTGCCGTTGTCGTTTTGACAACAGATGGGCTGAAGCACGAAAGATCTGCTTTGACCAAATGGAGGGCCGCAATATCATTTTTGCTCCCCTGTGACTGAATAATGCCGCATCCGCTCTCTACCATACCAATAAGCCTCAATTTGTTATCCATTTCAAGGCTTAACCAAATGAGATAAATCACTTCTACAGGAAGCTGTATGAAATCCATAAACAAGAACTTCATGAGAAAACCTATATTGAAAATTAATTTACATCTACACATGGAAACGTGCACTAGATTCTTTAGCTTGATTCAATTTCCTGTTTCCTGAAGCTCTAGTAATCAGCTCTCACAACTTCCGTGGTCTCCCTAAGCTTTAGTCTTTCTTTGTACTCTTTCAACTCTCTCTTGTATCTTTCCTTGTCCTTCATTCCAATATTCTGGTATACCTACAATGAGAAAGAAAATAACAGAACATCAACCTGAGCTCGATGAAAACAGTAAATCTAGCTTTACTATCTTGTTTTTACAACAGGAAGAATTGTATGTTCTAAACTATATGCTAGGTGCCAAAAATGTAACATTGGAAGATGTTAGCTTTATAATGTATATATTTATACCATCCTCTCTTCTGCACTGAGATTACTCCATGACTGACCAATAATTTTGGTAAACTCCCTTTCTCTGTTTGGGTATAGAGATTTAAGCTTATAGTGTTTTTCAGCGAAGAAAAAGTTATAACCACTTCTATTGGGTTTAGGGTGGCTGGGGTCCCCTCCTCGTCTGCTTCTCCTCCTCCGGCCGGAATATCGAGGTTTACGGTTTCTAGTGAATGGAATAAGAGCATTACTATATTGGACAATAGAAGAAGATGTGCCTATTTTATCTGGATGGTAAATGACTCCACTAAGCACCTCTGAACCCACTTGCACAGACACTAGATAACCACAATCAAATTTCCCATCAATAGTTCCAATAGCTGAAAATGAAGATCCTGCATAAATAAGATAATTATTAGTGATAGAACTCAGCAGAATCAAAATTTTTCATTTCTATAAGACCAGTGTGATGCATGAAACTTTGATGAATTTGTATCATACAAATAAAAAACAGGTAAGCCTACAGTCACTTACAGACAGCAACAACAGGAAGACCATATAAGAATGACATGGACTATAAGGTATCCATCTTCACATCAAATGATGGGAATTTCAAAATCAAAATTATCTGGTCAATAACTATAATTTCAAACATTTCTCAACTGACTATTTAACTAACTCAGAAATACAAGATTATGGGGCTGAAATATTTGTGGTGTATGGCTGCAAAACCTTTTTATCCAATTGCATACATTTCATAAAAGCAATGAAATGGAAACATTGGCAACAATACTTCACCTCCAGTAGGTGGATCAGGACAAGCCCTTGTCGGTTTAGGGGAATATTCCACAATAGCCAATTCAGGTCTTCCAGGAGATGCAGCTGCAGGGCAATAAAATTGATAGATAAAATGAATAAATTAAAGAAAGATGGGTTACTACTGGCAAAAAAAAAAAAGGACAAGTGACTAATTAGCTCACCCAATAAAGGTCCAAAAAGAAAAAGGATGTACCATGACTGAACCAAAATTAGAGACACTCATGCGGGAAAGAAATAAAGAGAAGAGCATTCAGTTACCTGTTGTAGAACATATTGGACCTTGGACCTTAAAGAAATGAACTTGTTCATAATGGAAAAGAAGGCCAAAGTAATGTTTTCTCAATACAAAAGAAGCACTGGTTGTTGTTGGAGAGAAGTTAAACACAGAACCCACTTCCCTCCATTTTTTTTCTTGAACAACCTGCACACAAGACATCATTTCTATTTAAGCACAAAAAAAAAAAAAAAAAAAAAAAATTTTTTTTCTTGAAGCAACCTGGCAACACAAGACATCATTTCCTATTTAAGCACAAAAAAAAAAAAAAAAAAAAGTTGATAGTTCACTTTCATGCCCATCCACAGATTAGAAACAAGAGCCGAACCTTTTCATAGCCACCCTCTTTTTAGTGGCCTCTACATAATAAATATACAAATCTAGCTCTTGCCCTCACAATGCCAGGAATCCTTAAAAATAAAAGAATGGTACTAAAAAGCATCAGCCAAAAGAATAATAGAACCAAACCTTTCATTTAAAAAAATTAAAAAAAAAAAAAAAAAAACACACCCTTTATTCACATGGCAAGCAATATCTCAGCCAAAGGAAGAAACTCCAACTAATAATCTACAAGGAAACTCAATGGAGGAGGAAAGAAGGCTTACATAAACTTTGTCCCCATTATAGAATGAAAGCGCCTGAGAGTGTCCCAGAAAGTAAGAGGGTCCTTAACAACTTCTTCATGAGAAGCAAGAGGAGCAGGATAACGCTTGTCTTCCACTCCATCATGAGCATTTTTCTTCGCCGCCGGCGACATTTTATCTCAGTCGCCTGGAAATCAGGAAGATGAAAGAGAAACAACAATGATGATTCCAAATATAAGATATGGTAATTAAGTCTCTAAGACTGAGAGAAGCCAGAATTAAAGAAGAAGCCCGCTGCGTGGGAGGTAACGGTTAATCAAAATTGGCTTTTTCTGGCATTTTTAATGGCCAACCAGACTGACTGAACCAAACTCTTTAAAGGGTTATTTATTTTACACAGGCTATGTTTATAATTACACTCTACGTAGCTTACTTTTCTATTTCTCTCTCTCTCCATTTCTCTCTCGTGTCATTCGAAGCCTGACAAAGTTACAGCTGCTTCGAGCTTTGATTTGGTGATCTCTTTTCTCTCTCTTTCTACCAACGTTGACATGCACTTTCTCTTCTCGTTCTGATACAGTCTGACCATATCTTATCGTACATCTGTTGGAAGATATAGGCTTTTGGAATTGGTATCTAGTGCAGTCCAGTGCATGGAGCTGGTCAATTACTGCTTACAGGAAACTATCAGAAATCAGAAATCAGAGAATCATACGCTTCGATTGAAAAAATTTTAAAGCAATGAAGCAAGCCCTTTGCTTTTATCTTTTAATGCTGGTTCAGTAGCCGATGGATTTTATGTGGGTCTGTCTTATTATCCATTATCCATATTGAAACTTGTTTTGACCTTCCAAATTATAAACTCGACTCGTCTGCTAATATACACGGAGGAAATTTTTTCAGCTTACTCTTTTGATGTCAGGTCACAACAAACAAATATCTATATCAAAATGGCTTAGTTTAATAAAATTTATTTATGTAACAATAATAATACTTTATGGAGAATCAAGAAATTAATTAGGTCATTTTTGGTAATTTTTTCTTTTACACATTGAGATTTTTTTATCAATCTTTTAAAATCATATCATCGTTCATATCTAATATTTTGTTCCTTGTATTTTTTTTGAATCTTTAATATCTTAATCCTTCATCTCTAACATGTTTTCATTTTCTGGATAGGAATTATTTTCATATTTTCTCTTTCAATATAAACAGCTGTCTATGTTTTAGCAAGCAAGCTTCGGCCCATTCAAATAGGGAGATAGGCTGAGTAATGCTGTGAACCTGAGAACCTGAAGCCCAATTTTCAATTTATAAGGGCCGAATCCTTGGGCCCATTTTATGTCCTCGAACACACTCTCAAGAACATTTGCCTATCATCTGATTTTATTTATTTATTTATTTTGATCTCTGGTTTCTTTATGGATAATTGAATTGTAATAATAACGATGGAAGATGATAATGAGAATTTATCAACGTTTGCTTTCATTCAAATTTATCAGCTCAAGAAGAAATTTTTGCAATGCCTTTCCTTCTCAATCTTTCCCCAAGTTTCTCACATGTTCAAATTCAGTAGACTCCACTGTGTCTGCTCTAATAATTTCTATAAGCTCTTGTACCTGGATACCTCATTGCCAAGCGCTTCATTGCAGAGTAATCAAATCCTTAAGTTACAATCACGGCTTCCTGGGTGATCAACTGGTGTCTGCTTATGTTCGATTGGAGTGCAAAGAAGATGCAAAGAAATTGTTCGATGAATTGCCTGACAAGGACTTGGTCTCCTGGAATTCTCTTATTTCTGGGTTTTCACGTAAAGGGGATCTGGGTAACTGTATAAATGCATTTTACAGGATCAGACTTGAAACTGATATGAAACTTAATGGAGCTACACTTCTACCTGTAATTTCAGCTTGTACTGATACGAGAGCTCTTGATGTGGGCAAGTTCGTTCACGGGTTTGCATTGAAACTAGGTATGCTTTTGGAGGTTAAAGTTGCTAATGCTCTTATTAACTTGTATGGAAAGTCTAGATATTTGGATGCAGCTTGTCGATTATTTCAGGAAATGCCAGTGCAGAATTCAGTGTCATGGAATTCAGTCATAGCAGTTCATGTTCAAATGGGATTGGCAGAGGAAGGAATGAAATATTTTATTATGATGAGAACGGCTATGTTTGTCTCCGATCAAGCCACTCTGGTAATTTTGCTTCAGGCATGTGAAAATCTAGGTGTAAGGAAAACGGTAGAGGCTATTCATGGTTACATCTTTAGCTGTGGTCTCAATATGAACTTGGCTATAGCAACTGCATTATTAAAGTTGTATGCCAACTTGGGTGTATTGAGTACTTCTAGAAAGGTCTTTCAAGAGATGATTAATCCAGATGCAGTTGCATGGACTGCCATGCTTGCAGCTTATGCAGTGCATGGTTGTGGGAAAGAAGCAATAGAACATTTTGAATTTATGGTCAGAGGCAGTTTGGTGCCTGATCATGTTACATTCACTCACTTGTTAAGTGCTTGTAGCCATTCGGGGCTAGTGAAAGAGGGAAAACATTATTTCCAGGTTATGTCTAAAGTTTACAGAGTAGAACCTAGGCTGGATCACTATTCATGCATGGTTGATATTTTGGGTCGCTCTGGACTTCTTGATGATGCTTATGATATTATCAAAAGCATGCCAATGGAGCCAAATTCCGGTGTGTGGGGAGCTCTTATGAGCGCATGCAGGGTCTATGGTAATGTTGAACTTGGAAAGGAAGTTGCAGAGCAATTGTTTGCTTTAGACCCATCAGACTCTAGAAACTACATCTTGTTATCTAATATGTATTCTGCAGCTGGTCAATGGAAGGATGCTTCAAAGGTGAGGGCATTAATGAAGGAAAGAAATGTGATCAGAAATCCTGGATGCAGTTATATTGAGTATGGAAACAAAATTCGTCGCTTTGTAATGGGCGATCAATCTCACCCTGAGACAGAGCGAATATATAACAAGTTGGAGGAAGTCATTGGGAGGATTAGAAAAGCTGGATATGCATCAAAAACAGAACTTGTTCTACATGATGTCAGTGACGATGTGAAAGAGGATCTGATCAATAAGCACAGTGAGAAGTTAGCCATTGCATTTGGACTATTAGTGACTGATGCTAATATGCCATTGATTATAACAAAGAACCTTAGAATATGTGGTGATTGTCACAACGCTGCAAAATTCATCTCACTGATTGAGGAGCGCACAATAATAATTCGAGACACAAAGCGGTTTCACCATTTTGCCAACGGATTGTGTTCTTGTGGAGATTACTGGTAATTCTCTGCTTCAAACTATTATATCCAAGAATACATGTACAGACAGACAGAAAACACCTGTATGACATTGTTGATATGAATTACATTCAACTTTTCTATTGAATGAAGTCTGGTTGTTCAACGTAAAGGTAGAACTAGGTTTGCAAAGCTCCTGTCTAAACCGGGAAGGGCCGAGGCCCAATCATAGAACTTTATATAGTGATGGGTTCAATTGAAAGTACAAACTAGAAACCCACTTTTGTATTTTTGGGCTAAGGTAGGCGGTGCCTCCATATCTCAACATTTCTACCAGTTTCACTTGCAATAATTGTATTCTGTCAGCAAAAGAAACGTTTTCATATTTTGGACATAAAACAATGTGGATGCTGCCATCTCCTCGTGAAAATTCCCAATAAAATAGTGGAACCAGTCGGTTAGTACTGTTATTTTAAGAGGAATGATGTGGCAAACCGACAAAGTGAAACCGTCCTGTGAGCGTGGAGTGGAATTATTCAATTGAAGCATAGGAAGCCAGAGACCCAACGACCAAGAAATAGCATAGGAAGATGAGAATATGAGATGTAAATAATTTAATTCTGGAAAGCACATTTCCAAATCCTGAAACAGCTTTAAAAGCCGAGCGGTCGGCTTGACTTTGGCCCTTTTACTTTCTCTGCGTGCCCCCCACTTTCACTCATTTCACCTTCTTTTCCGCTCACGGTTTTTGCAAAACGGCATTCTATACCTTGTTTTGGACATGACCGGCTTCTTCGTCTCTTGTTCTCTTTCTCCACCGGCACGAAAGGCAATTGTACTGGTCTAATAAGAAGCACCGCACCTTAAAAAATTGAACGTTTCTGTATCGTACCTATGTTAGACTAAAAATATGTTCTATAATTTTTTTTTATTTTTATTAATTTTGAACGCCTTTTAGTACCTTTAATATACTTCTAATATATTTCTTGAATATTTTGAGATCGCCTTTTAAAAATTATCTTTTAAAAAATGAAAATAAAATATAATTTTAGAAAAAATAGAAAATAGTAGGATTCAAATATATTGTCACTTCGTAAGGCGTCATTTTCCTTCATTAATATGCTTATATCGTCGTTTGCTCCGCAGATTATATTATTTTAATTTTAATAATAGTGATGGGAATTTAATACATTTGTTTTAAGTATATAATTGTTGGAGCTGGTGGGCCAGGTCTATCCTCTCCCTGACCCCTCTTTAGAATTTTTGAACCCCGCGAATTGTTATAATAACAAGAAATAAAATAAAACCTCCACTCTCTCGTGCTCGTTGGCCCGCTGCGTTATTGTTTTGGATGCTGTCATTGACAGCGTTAGGATCAAATGCCCGCACAGTTTTAAGAATTTACATCCTCCTGAGCCTTTCCTATAGGGTCAGAGGATTTTATAATTGGTAAAGTTTGAAAATCATCCATTTTCGCTTGAAAAATGACATGGCGTTGAAAGGATTCCTTTGTTTTTTTTTAACATCCTTAATTATTTTTTTTAAAAATAGTTAATATCCAATCATTCTCGATTTGATTAATAGATTTTAGGTAAATTGCTAAAATTCCAATTTTGGTGTCCACTGCTATATGATTCACCTTATTCTTGTATTAAAATGTTATTTATGAAACTGTACATATATAAATCTGGATGAGAGGATAATATATTATATGAATTGGACACCAATATTTCCAATAAACATCTTTTTAAAAGTCAATTCATAGAATGTAATCCATATTTGCTAATTGCAATTGTCACGTTTCAAGTTATTAATGCATATCCTCTAAGGGGCAAAAAGAAAAAAAAGGAACAGACATGGATTGATGTGATGGAACTTGCCTCGCGAGTGTATATCTGATGGGTGCCACCGCACATAACATCTTATAAATAAACAAAACAAATAAAAAAGAAAAACAATAGACAAATCAATAATGCACAAGTGGCAATAAACAGTTTGCTTACCATAAAAACTTCTTCCCAAACCGCGTGAATTCTTCGTTACAAATGGTAGGTTTGTCCCGCGGATAAGGTTGAAGACTTCAAGTTCAAGTCACACACAAACCTATAGTAGCAATTACGAAAATAATAATAATAATAATTCTACGGGATTACGTCTTCTTAATCACCGCTAACATTTAGCCGGCCCATGAGGCCATAACTCTAATCAAGATTCGAGTTTAGAATTAGAACCCAGATGCGACCAAAGAGCGCCCATGCGTGTCACTGAGTTTAAGTCAGACTCGGTTCGGCTCAATCCTAAAAACGGAAGATGCTTTAGAATATCCCTTTTTATCCTCTCCCATCATATAACACAGCATCAGCGGTTTTAGAGGGCCAAAATATGGATAAGTCCCTATCCTGGACTTTTTTCTATAAAAACCCATCAGATTCAACCAACCCTTTCAAAGTTACTTTCTTTATTACAGATTCCCTCTTAAAACCAACCTCCGCAAAATAGCAGTTAGTAACTATCATGAGCTCTTCCTCTCCTGCTACTCTACTTTCTCCATCCGACCAACGACATCTCATCGAGAAACTTGAGATCTTCAAGATCCAAGGCCGAGACAAGCGTGGCCGTAAGGTTCTTCGCGTCATCGGCAAGCTCTTCCCTGGTATTACATAATATAATATCAGAGTATTTGCATGTCATGCATTTTTCTCTTTGATATTTGAGTTTAAAGATTATTTTTCAAGGTTTGTTTTTAATTCGTTTCAGTTTCTTGCCTTTCTTTTAAAAATCCTTCTTTTATCATATTGGACTACCGTAGATTTAGTTTGGTTTTTAATTTTTCTGTTAATTGCAATTTCGTGAGCAGCTCGGCTGGTGAGCAATGAGGCGTTGAACAACTATTTGGTGGAGAAAATCTTCCCCAAATTGGAGGGAGAGCCTTTCTCTGTTGTGTATGTGCATACCGATGTTCAAAGGAGCGAGAATTTCCCTGGAATCTCAGCCCTACGATCAATTTATGAGGCAATTCCGATCAACGTCAAGAATAATCTCCAGGCGGTTTATTTTGTGCACCCTGGCCTACAATCCAGGCTCTTCCTTGCAACTTTTGGTCGTCTTCTTTTCAGTGGAGGGTAAGTTTCCTTCTCCCTTTCTTTATTATTAAGCCAGACACGCAAATCTTCTCCTGGCCCATTTTAGCTTCTGTGTCAGGCCTCCACTTGGAAAGCGCTCTCATTCGTGTGATTATGAGTTCTTAAACAATGAAATTTTAATTAATTTTCTTAATTGCGTTTTTGTGAATAACTTAAGATTTACGTCTGTAAAAAACTTGCGCTGATTAGTGATTTTGGTTTGGTTGATCGTGAAGCAGGTTATACTGGAAGTTAAAGTTTCTAAATAGGTTAGAGTTTCTGTGGGATCACGTTAGGAGGAATGAGATAGAGATACCGGATTTTGCTTACGATCATGATGAAGAGCTCGAGTACCGTCCGACGATGGATTATGGATTAGAGAGTGACCACCCAAGAGTTTACTATGGTCCTTCTATGGACAGTCCAGTTTCTTCGTATTCGATGCGATGTATTGCATAGGAGATGATGCTTGTGCTCTCATTTTTAGAACTTTGCTTGTATATATGCCTAAAATTTCAATGACCTTATCGTTGTGGCACTGCGTCAGGAAAATCGAAAAATTTTGTCCATTATGTTGTACACGAAAGAAAAAAAAAACAAAGAGTACTATTTCGACTAAATTATTCAGGTTTAGGCCTAATAGGATGATGGGAGCATTAAGCCCAAAGATAAGTGGTTTGAAGACCTAGTGGCCCAGGTTCTCAGTTCGAGAGCATGAAATATAGGTGAGATTTTTAAGTATTTTAAAGAAATTTGACGTTTACAAGCCATTTCTGAGATAAAAGTCACAGAAATACAGTCAAGAGAGTTAATCCCTAAAGGGAAATCAATGCTCGATTAGATGGGCTCTTTAAATACTTGAGTCGCATTTAGAATTTGGCACTGCCAGTTCTATTTATGCCTGCAAGATAAAGAGTATTGCCTGCTTCCTTTTCAATCAAATTTGAGATCTTTGGAACTAATCCAACTTCAAATGGAACCTTAATCATATTTCGTATGTTCAAGGACATTACTAAAGTGCTTTCATACGCCGTATGGTGAATAAAATAGAAGATGAACCCAGATTAAGACACAGAACACTCGTGTCCTTATCTAATAAATTGGCAAAGGAATTCAAAATTTCTAAAACAACATTTCTAAAACAACTCCCAATGGCATTCCTAGGAATCCCGTACACTTGATCTTCAACCTTTTAGAGTTGAAGGTTTTTGCTTATGTGCATAACATACAGCTCCATTTCTAAGCAACAACGTCTAGGCACATGCAACTCGTTCTATGCAATTAACAGACTTATTACTTCATGGAACAGGCAGTTCAATATTTGTAACCTCAGGGAATTATGTCCGACTAGAACGGGCAGAATCAACCTAATCTCCAAAAATTCTTGGCTCTATAAATGATGACTTATCCAACAATATAGTGCCATAATATCTAAAGTAAATCTATCTAATATCCATATACATTGCTTGTAATGTACTCTCTTATTTTGATGAAACTAAGGCCTGCATCTCTGCAAAAAGAAAGATACATAAACTAAGCTCACATCAATACCCACTACATGCAAGTTCTCACTTCCCAAGCTAACAGTTTTCAAGATTTTTGGAAATGTCTCCATATGATGCTAACCAGTACAGTAGTCCTTGATAAAACATTAGCTCTTCAACCATTATCAAGAACTTGCAGAACATTTAGATCATCAGTGAGGAATAAATTTTCACTAGAACGAACTCATGCTATATCACTTATATTACATTTATTAACATGTAAATAAACAAGCATATACAGGCACAATATACAACAACAAAAGATGACAAACCAGTTATTCATGTAGTTACAATTACAAATATGCAAATCAAGAAAGATACTTGTACTCACATTCAAAGATCTGAAATTAGCATGGATTGGGAGAAACCCAAAGTGGTGGAGGCCATCTTAAGCGAGAACGAGAATGTCGCGGATAGCAAGGCAAAGATTCAATGCTTCCATCCCATAGCTTGAAAATACCCAAATCATGTTCTCCAAAGTGGTCATCATAATTAGTATCCGAGTAATCGTCGGTGTAATATATGCAATTTCCCATACAACCAAAGAAATCGTTAGCTGACAATGATAACGAAGTATTTTCACCAATGAACAGCGCCTTATCACCCAAACTTCTCATCCTCGCCCACCGTGGCCCGCCCCACTCCAATCTAGAAACTTCAAACCGCATCGTTCTATAGATTAAATGTGGCTGCATATCTGGATGATCAACTTCAAATTCAAGATCCAAATACCTGGTTACTAATAACAATTCATTCTCAGAACTAACCAGATACTGCAAATCACCACCATGTTGCCTAGGCGTTTCGATAAACCAAACCTCAGGCGAATCACCATTAACGTCACAAACTGCAATTTGGCCGGCTTTATTGACTGCATAAAACAATCCGTTAAAACATACAACATCTTCGCTAAAATAGCGTGCGTTTTCTATAATAGTCCAGGATTGGTCTCCATTTCTGCAATAAGCCAAATCGCCTGTTTGATTAAGAATCGCCATGGCCACGAAATTGCCTTCTGTCAACGGGCTACATGATAAAATCACTTTCTTGATGAACCAATCCCGCATTTGCCTCAAGCTACGAGTGCAACGATCGCCCAATGAATTTCGAAGTGCGTATTCTCGACCAATATCAGAGTAATTGAAGCTAACAACGTTAGGGAAACTGGAGACCGGAGGCAAGGACAACTTTGCTCGCGTGAGAGGGTTTATGAGAAGAATGATTGGCGAATCGTCGAGGATTATAAGCCAGCCATGAGAAGAGCCGCAGTGGCGCTTCCGATGGGAGGCCTCGGGGAGATTGAGGAAATGGAATCTGTTGGTGGAGAGATTGAAGAAGGCGCGGTGAGATTGATCGGATTGGGATTGAGGAAGCATGAGCCATGGTAGCTGAGGAGGAAGGTGGTTGGGGGTTCTGGGAATGGAGGATCTCCATGTACGACATACGGCTCGAAAGTGGAGGTAATCAGCGTAGATTGTGAGGCTTTTGGAGATTGTTTCTACGAGTTCAGGCGGGAGTTGAGTCCAGTCTACCGCCATCTCTTGTCGCTTCTCTCTCCCAGACGAAAATTTTCAGTCAATAATTTGTATCCAAAGTGTACTTAGAGATCAGTGATGACGTATATGCTGAAATTCAACCCAACCGTCTTGTGGACTCGTACTACTGCAACTGGTGAACTGGCTGTTTGGGTTCGACAAGCCGGTCGTTTCAATTGAATGAACCAATAATTTAGGATCTTAAGACTTAAAAGGCTTGAATTTGAATTGAATCGGCCCTCACCTTTTTTAACTCATCTGCTCTGGTCCGATTTCAATTTGGCCGATTCAACAAGTGGCTTTAGACTGATTTTTAACTGATGATTCTGAGTCAATTTTGACCTATATCTCGAACAACTGAAACCGAACTCATGAAACTACGTTTTTGATTGGATATGAAACTTGAAGCTACCCAATTAAATTTGGACCAGATTTTTTTTTTTAAAACAAATAACTACAAATATTAGTTAATTATAATATAAATTAATATAGTAAGTTACAATTAAGGCCTTTTTTCATTTGCTTTCATTCATTTTTTAATTTTTATTGTAATTTTATAATGTAATTCAGAAGCTCAAACAGAAGTAGAATGCAAGAATACGGAGGATAATGAAACATATGCTCTCTTTTATTGACAATCATTTGTGTTCCAGCTCTTGCATTTGGATGGACAAGAGTTTTGTTCATGTTTGGCACTAGATGGATGAATAACAGACAAGGTGAAACTCTCCCGAATATCGAATCTTAGAAAAGCAATCTTTAACTGGTGAAACAGAGTTCCTCAGGACAAGATGATCCAAAAACAGAGCGACAATAAAATTTCTGGAGATAACTTTACCTATTTTGCTTTTGCAAGAAGCTTGCATTATTATATAAATATAACATTTCAAACAAAAGAAGTCCCTAGTGCCATCTGCAAGGAAGAGAGCTTTAAGCTGAGATGGTTAATACTCAGATGTAACAAGAACTCCAATATCTGTTTGCTAAATGCTTCTGCATAACACCTAAAAACCAGATACAATCTGTGTTCTTATAAGTAGTATTCTAAATAAAATCCGTGCAACGGTCAACAAAAGCTAACTATAATAGAAATGAGTAATTGAAAACCAACCAAATGCTTGTAATGAAGTCAAAACAAAATAAATATTTTGTGGGTGAATGCTCAGTGCAGAGTCTTACAGTGTTCTACGTTCACTCGGCTACATTCTACATTTCCATACATTTCTCACCATTGGTATCTCCATAGTTCTTAGGAAGCAAATCAGGATAGTTTCGGTGATTCAAAGAATGCAACCACAATGCTACAGTACCTTCCTTATGTTCTGTTGATGCAATATGGGAATATATGTATGTCACCTTGAAGTCCTCCGCTACTTCTTCATAAACTTTCATGGAGAGCTCTTCATGGCTGTCTTTCCATTTCTGGTTATATGATGTGAAGAAGCACTCATCCAAGTATAAACCAACCTCAGGGGCTGTAGGCACATTAATGTTCACATCCCTAGAAAATAACATGGATTAGCAAAAACTCAAATGACCATGAAAGCAGCAGAACTGAAATAAATCAAACTAAGTGCTTACTTTTGTAGGGCAGTTGATATCAATGACTCAGGGGCACAGTTCCTCATGATTGCCACAGCAACACCAATCATCTTTCGTATCTGATGAAGCATGAAACTCTGACCTACAACCTCACACTTTACGAACTCAATGCCTTCAACAGTAACAGTGGTCTTTGCGTCAAAGGAAATAATGTAACGCCGGGCAGCAGGATCTTCAGCTTTAGTCCTGGTGGTAAAATTATGGAAATTGTGACTCCCCACATAATAACTCAGTATTCTATTGAACCTCTCTTTCTCCTTCTCTCCATAACAAAACACACTTCCTTCCATCACTTGCTCCTCTCCATCAACTTTCTCTTCTCCAACCTTCAAATCATCCCCTAATCTTTCTGATTTTGCATTGACATCATCGGCATGGTCCACAGGCACCATAAGTTCCTCTGTAGTATCAGGTTTGGTATTAGCACCTATATTGTTCAATAAAATTCTTGACTTAGGTATTGCAGATTGTGTTTGGGCACAATTATTTTCAGAGACCTTAGCTTCCTCTGCGAATTCAGCATTTATATTATCACCGTCATCTGCTGCATTGTCAGCAGTGACACTAGTATCCTCTTTAATTTCAGATTTCACAATAGCATCTCCATCATTCGATGAAATGCTTGTGTGAGAAACAAAAGATTTTGATTCAAAACTGCGGTTACCCACTGCACCAATTACCTTCCGCCCTCTCTCTGAACACTCCCAACACTTGACAAGCTCGTTACCAGACCCCAAACTAGCCAATACACTCTCCCTATCACGATGCGAACTCGGATCAAGAGCAAAAACGGGAATCAAATACACGTACCTTCTACGATCGCAGAACTTCTTGGCATTAAACGACCCCGTTACTCGTTTGTACCCGAATATCCTAATTTGGGATGACAAATTCGAGTTTAAGCGTTCCACAAGCCCTGGCGGGTCGATGTAGAACCGCCCTGAGACCACCTGTCCCACAGCGCTCACGCCCTTATCAGTGCGAGCCGAGCGAGCCCAGTCATACCGCTTGGGGATGCCACGGTCATGTTCCGGGACGGCACCGGATTGAAAGAGGGCTTCTTCAAGGTCACCTTCGATAGTTTTGGCGCCTGGGTTTTTCTGCATTCCCTGATAACCCACGCCGCAGTATGCGAAGAATATTGCGATTTTGCGGCGCTTGTACCTAAGCTTTTTTGTTGCGGTGGTATCTCCAAGGGCTGTTTCTTCATCGTCGGAGGTAGTGGTGGACATTCTTGGCTTTTTATGCTCCGGTTCCTCTTGCTGTGGTGCGTATGTGGTGATTTTTGAGTCTGGATTTTCCATCTTCAATGATTAAAAGCGATCGACTTTTCTATTACTATTCTCAGGTCAGATGTCTATCCCCCAGTAAAACCCTAGGAAATAATCTTATTTTTGCTTTACAGAGGAATGTTACTCTGAGATAGGAAGTAGACAGTACATCTCGTTCCCAAGTTGATGACAAATCAGCAACCGTTTAATCTCAAGTCCTACGAACTGTATCTCTTGGCATTCTGACAACCAGTAGCTTAGTGGCATATCAGTCCAAGTAATAAAGTAAATAAGACAGACTGTAAGAGGGGTCACTTTAATATTTTTATCCTTTTTCTTTTCTTAACAAAACATACTCACCAAATCAACCAGAAAGCGAAATTTCCATGTGATCGTTGATAAAAGAAACATCCTCCAGATTTTCTTGTGCTACCAGTACTTTCTCAGAAATCCATCTTTCAGATTTCTACACTTGGATGGACCAGAGCGGTAAATATTGGAAGAACAGGTGAATTTTACAATGGGGAAAGGTCATATATTAATTTTAGAACAGGTGAACTATTGGATTGCCATCAAACAGGGCCACGCATGCATTCATGAAAATAGACATGAAGAATTAAAAACAATATCAGGTTTAAATCTAGAAAAATAAATGCATCTGATCTGAGGGTTAAAATTCTGTTTTTAATTAAGTTGAGTAGATTGGTGCAAAAGAGGACAGGTTGATTGCCTCTCTCAGTGCTCCTTGGGGGTTCAATAGTTGGCGACCCCCTCTTCAAAATTTTCAATGTACCAAAATGAACAAGAATGGTGTGAATGCATACTGCATTAACTTGATAATGTTATAGATGCAGAATCAGAATCAGGTCGGCAACCCTTATCCTTCATTTGTTTGCTTAATCTTCGTATCTCTGCTCTTATTTCTCCAATCTGCGGATGCATCTGGTCTCCAACAACAAACACATGAACACAACTTTTGAGTTCAATCCAGCTACAGCCAGGTTCCTTGCTCACTCCTCGAATCCTCATCATGCTCCTGATCCGCTCCACATCTTCTGGTCTATTCAAGGCAGTGTAGATGCTTGACAATAACACGTAGGCAGATGATTCTTGTGAGCCCAACTCCATTAGTTTCTCGCCTGCATAAGCTCCCAATTCATAATTATGGTAGTTCCGACATGCACCCAATAAAATCCGCCACAAACACAAGCCATGGTCTACTTTTGCTGACTCAATAAATTCTTTTGCTTCACTAAGATTCCCTGCACGACTTAGGACATCAACCATGCAGGCATAGTGCTCTACTCCTGGGACAATACCAAATTCATCAAGCATCATTTTGAAATACACCCAGCCTCTCTCCACCAATCCCATGTGACTACAAGCAGAGAGAACATTCACAAATGTGACATCATCTGGCTTTGTGCCCTCTCGTCGCATTTCCTCAAAGAGTTCCAGAGCTTCCCGTCCATACCCGTTTTGAGAAACTCCAGATATCATTGCATTCCATGAGACCACATCTCTCTCAGGCATCCTTCTAAAGACAAGGGTTCCCTCTTCTAGACTCCCACATTTTGCATACATTGTTGAAAGAGCACTTCCAATTGGAACTGCCAGACTGAGTCCATACTTAATTGTGCGGGCATGAATTTGCCTTCCTTGATCCAAAGCAGCAAGGCTTGAACAAGCTTTTAAGACACTGGCCATTGTTAGCTCATTGGGCAAAACCCCTTGCATCTGCATTTTACAATACAAGCTCAAAGCATCTTCATTCTCCCCATTCTGCACATACCCTGCAATCATGGATGTCCACAGAATAATATCAGGTTCTTGTAAATAATTAAATCCTTTCCAAGCATCTGCTGTACAACCACATTTTGCATACATGTCAACCAAAGCAGTCATTATGTACATTTGGAATTCAAATCCCAACTTTACTAAATAGTTATGCACCTGCTTTCCTTCTTCAACAGCTCCAATATCACTGCAAGCATTAAGAACACCAACAAGGGTAAACTCGCTAGGATTGATCCCAGCAAAATGCATGCGAGAGAAGAGCTTCAAAGCCTTATGAGAATCCCCACTTTGAGCATAACCAGTGATCATAGCCGACCATGTGATAGAATCCTTATCACTTGACATTTCAAACACTTGAAGAGAATCATCTAAGCCCCCACATTTAGCATACATGGTAACAAGTGCATTTAAAACAGAAACAAATGCTAACAACCCATTTTTAACTGCAAGGCAGTGTATCTGCTTGCCACTATCAATGAAGTCAGGGATGGCCAAAGCACTAAGAGCACTAGTGAAGACAAACTCATTCAAACCCTCGTCTTCTCTACGCATCAGTTCAAAAATCCCCAAAGCCTCTCCAGCCAGCCGTTGGATCGCATACCCAGAAATCATAGTAGCCCATGTAACCGAGTTCCTTTCAGGCATTTCATCGAACACTTTGCGAGCCTCCAAAAGCAGACCCGCTTTACAGTACATATTAAGGAGAGAACTCCCAACAAAAACATCATAAAAACTCACCGTTCTGATGGCAAGAGCTTGGGCCTGCTGACCGCAGAAAACGCTGGACAAGTTCGAAGCGGCAGTGAAAACACCGGCAAAAGTGTGGGCATTTGGGAAGGTATTCTCTGCTCTCATGCTTTTAAATAGTTCCATGACAAGGGAGTAGCCTGCAGGCCCCTGTTGGGAGTAGCTATTGATAAGGCAATTCCATGATATCACGTCTTTGTCGCGAATTCGTTCGAAAACGAGCTTGGCTTTAGGTAAATTACCGCACTTGGCGTAGAAATTAACTAGACTATTTGCAAGATATATGCAAGAAGAAGAAGCGGATTTTATAATCTGACCGTGTAGAGCCCTGCCTCTTTGGAGGCTTTTCTGATGGGTACACTCTAGAATCGAATTAAAGAGGGAGCGACTTTGAGGAGGGAGAGGCATCAACTCCGTCCAGTTCCAGTTTCCAGCGACGTTTGTTTTTATGGCGGCAAAAGCGAGGTTTTAAAATAACAGCTATTTGAACCACAGATTTTGCGCCTTTAATTTTCCTACCAGAAACTTCAACTTATCTCTCCGCCCACCATTTAGAAATGACAAACGTCGTTGCAGTCACATCTCCACCGGCCAAAACACAGTCCCGCGCAATCGCTTATTTGCTACGCTTTCCCCGTTATTGTGAAGCTAAGCCGCATTAGTCTCCATAGTCCTTCGCAACTCAAAACCTCCACGCGTCCCTGTAGACCTTATTACTCCTCAAGACAAATGTTTTCTTTCGCAAGATCCTAACCCTGATTGGCCGATTCGAATGCCTCTATTAACCGTCGAAAGATGGAGAGTCTCTGTCCTACTCTCCCATTTCAAAAAGCTGATACCCTTTTCCTAAATTCCCCATTTTCATATCTTTTTCCTGTGCAATCTGTAATATTCTGCGTCGAAGGCTGCTATCGCACAAAGGAGTCCTTTTTCTCGTACAAATTCAATGTTCGCTCTAAGCTTTTTCGAAATTTATGGAGCCAACAGCTGATTCCAATTGAGTGGACTTAACGAAATTCTCCAAGCTTTTCGTTTCTTTTCTATTTAAAAGGCGAAGGTAGCTAGAACATACCCACGCTGCGATCGCTAACTTTAGCTTTGGTAATTGCCCTTCCCCGTCTGTTTGTTCTCCTTTCTATTGTTAAGTTCTTGCCTTTCTCTTCTCTCTGCCGGTTAACTATCTCGGAGAACTGTTGTTGCATTTGTTTCAATTTGAATATTCGTGTTAATTGTTCTGGAACCTGATTACGTTGCCAAGCATGTTCATCTTTGTTCTCTTATTTATTTAGAAATTGAAAAGTGCTCAGACTTGGTCTCTTTTGTTGCTTGTCTAAATCTAGTGCAATTCTTTATATTGAGTGCACTTCAAAAATAATGCGTTGATACTGAACTGGGGATGCAGATTATTTGCTTGGTGCCCCAACTTATACGATCCGGCGTCAAAATTGTGGATAGCCACCGATTGATTTGACATGGGTTACATTGTATGCCTCTTGCTTCTTCTTCAGCCCTCTGATTATAATACTATTATCTTTCCTCTGCAGATAGTACAACACTTTTGTGGACTTTTATTTCATATTTTAAACTATTTCCCATGCATGCTCTTCCAAAATCGAGTCTATCGATTATTAGGTAGATGTGGCTGCATTTGATTTCGTAATATTAACCCTTATTTTAATTCTTCTTTTTTGTGTACTTTCTCAAAAATGCAGCAGGGATATGATGAAAATAACCAGCAGACAGATATCGGTATGCTGATTCTTTTCTTCCCAATGTTTGTTTGCTCTGCTTCAATCTGATCCTGACAATCAGTCTGGTCTTCTAAATCTACTTGCTTATTTGTCTTCAGGTTCAGCTGTCCGCAATGGAAGAGAAATACTTTTGCAGGTAAACTCAAATGAAAGGGGTTCCATCACTGTTGGTATTGGTGCATATGAATTTTTTTTTTTTTTTCCCTTACCTCAAAAAACATAGAATGCGAAAGCCTCTGCCGGTGTGTATGTGTAGATCTGACTGAAACTTTGCTCAACAGGCTTTTAACTGGGAATCTCATAAGCACGACTGGTGGAGAAATTTAGAAAAGAAGGTTGCTGACATTGCAAAATCTGGGTTTACTTCAGCATGGTTACCACCACCTACTCAGTCCTTTGCACCTGAAGGTAAAAGAATATTAGATTGATATTCAATCCCACATAGACACCTAAAAAAAGGGTAGTTCTTTTTTTTAACTGTCAATTTTGTAATTACAGGTTACCTTCCGCAGAATCTTTATTGTCTAAACTCTTCATATGGTTCTGAACACCTCTTAAAAGCTTTACTTCAAAAAATGAAGCAACATAAAGTAAGGGCCATGGCCGATATTGTCATTAATCACCGTGTTGGGACTACCCAAGGGCATGGTGGAAAGTATAACCGTTATGATGGGATTCCAATGCCATGGGACGAACGTGCTGTCACATCTTGTACTGGTGGCCTGGTAACTATTCTGATATATTGGAACTTTTCTTAGCGACTCTAATGCATGTGTAGTTATCCTACTCAGCAAGCCAGTTGTTTCTTAGGTTCTGGTAAACTTTTTACTGTTGTGGATACTCTTTTATTTTTGTTGTTCTGTTATGTAACTACTGAACAAACTTGGGAGGGATAGGAGGGCTATGCACTTACAAGGCCTGTCGTGTATCTTTGAGTGGGTGTTCCGAATGGAATGGGATTGGGAGGGATTACACATCCGACACTCTTGACTATGACAGATGAACAGAGGCAGATTATGTTTACCTATTAACATGACTTGAGCATTGCTTATATTATTTCTTGAAAATAATTTGGATGCAAGTTGTAATATAGGGGTTCTTGACCTGTTAATGTATATTCCAGGGTAATCGAAGCACGGGTGACAACTTCCAAGGGGTTCCGAATATTGATCATACCCAACATTTTGTTCGGAAAGATATTATAGGATGGCTGAAGTGGTTACGTAACACAGTTGGCTTTCAAGACTTTCGCTTTGATTTCGCAAGAGGGTAACTGTTGTTCTGCGCGTGCAAATTACTGTATTTTGTTAGTTTCCTTTTCCACATCAATACTTATGTCTCCAAAATGTTGCATTTTTTAGTTACTCGGCAAAATATGCGAAAGAATACATTGAAGCAGCAAGGCCAATATTTTCTGTTGGGGAATATTGGGATTCTTGCAACTACAATGGCTGTTATTTGGAATACAACCAAGGTATTATTTTCATTTTGTGCATCTCCTGCATCAATAGCACACTTTTTTGGGGCAAGAAAACAGGATGAATTTTTATTCGTACATGATAGCATACTTACCCGATATCCTTGGTTGATTCCTTAGAATCATGGCCTCTTGTAAATTCTTTTCTGCATTAAGTCAAAGTGCTCTAATTGATAAGGTTGAATCATCTAGCACTTTATGCTTTCTTTGTGATAGTTTTCCTTTGATAGATGAGATTATGACTTAAAATAGAAAAATCTTTCTTCAAAAACATATGAAGTTTTGAATCAATTACTATTAGAAGCAGATAGGTTCAGACATATGAAGTTCCTAAAAACTACTGCATTATCCAAATCATCTTATTTGGAATTCTGGTTACTTCTGTGGAAGATTTGATTTTGATAGGGATCTTTAATTTTTTCGTTCGTTATGCTTGGTGTTCTTTCAGGAATGGTTTTTTTTTTTTTTTTTTTTGTTTTTTTTTTTTTTTTTTTGGAGCTACTTTCCTTTTTATCTTGAAAATTCCTTATTTATGTTTAGTAGCATTGCTTTATGTTGAGCATAATTGTCACTGGCATCTGAGTGCTGTATACATTGTTTTGTCAATGCCTTATCCAGATAGCCACCGTCAACGGATCGTGAATTGGATTGATGGTACTGGACAGCTCTCAACTGCATTTGACTTCACAACGAAGGGAATTCTTCAGGTACTTTAAGGGACATTTGCTACTTAGAAGGAAATGGTGGTCAATTTTTTTGAGGAATCTACAAGATTTTGCCTAGGATTGTGGATTGCTTTTTCCTGCTGAATGTCTCCTTTGATGTGGGTGATTGCCTCATTCACATATTAGCTTCTGGAAGTAATTAGGGTCCATGCACTTTGCTGATTTAGTTGACATCTTTCTTGTGGAGATGAATGAAAGCTTAACCATATGTAACATCCATGTGAATCTTACTGGCGGTAATTTACATGTTTCTCAGTGATATTAACTCCCTTTATATTTATGCATCATCTGCCATGCAGGAAGCTGTTAAGGGACAGTTATGGCGTCTGCGTGACTCTCAAGGGAAGCCACCAGGTGTAATGGGATGGTGGCCCTCAAGGGCTGTCACATTCATTGATAACCATGATACAGGCTCAACGCAGGTACCAAAAGACGCATATGTTGTAACTATCGGCTAGACGATTTAGGAAGAATTTTGGTTGGCTGCTTTTTAAAAAAAAAGGTTTTATCATGTAGGAGAACTTTCAAGCGTAAATAATTAGAAATATCCATTTTGAGTTGATGTTTGAGTTGCTGATGGGCTAGAGTACTCTCTTGAGTGGCAAACTGGCAATTGAATGTTGGATGCATCATGCGTAAAATTAAGTGTTCAACAGCAACAGGTGAAAGAAATACTCAGGTGTTCTCCTTTAGTGTATTTATCAGGGTAGAGATACAAAAATATGATTTACAACTGGAACTTTTTTGGAACAAAATTTGGTTCTTTTTTATCCAAGATTCAGCTTTTGTTTCTAATTCTAGTCATTGAGATGAAAATTTGGTTTGAACAATTTTTTACACTTGCACACAGGTAATGTCCTAGAATTAAGCTGAGTTGTTTATACATCTTTAAAATTTTTTAAACTTGTGACATGTCATGAAACTTTGTTCCGGTTTGATCGGTAGTAGTTAGAATTTTTCAATACTGTTACTAACAGGTGAGAATTAGCTAGACATTATCCATCCTGGACTAAAATGATATTTCCTCACATGGATGTTGATGCATGTATGTAATATTGTAATGTGATATCACTGACTTTAGATATCAAGTTCTTTTTCTGCCATGTGACCTAATTACCTTTATGATAATTTCACTCTTGCAGGCCCATTGGCCCTTCCCTTCAAATCATGTTATGGAGGTATGCTAAGTTATTTTCTCTGTAAAGCTTGTTTGCATAAGTTAAATGATGTGCATTCGCATGGTGCGATCAAAGTAATGTCATCATGACTTTTCCTAATGACTGGTCATCCATCCAATCCAAATTTATAATTGACTTTATTATGCAAGGCTCAATTCTAATTATTTGTCAATATTTTCCACATTTTTGTTTAGGTGCTTTCTAATTTCAAGTTATTTTTGGTACTCCTCTTGAAATGCCATCACAGACCTGAGGTTTTAAATCTTAGTATCATTCTCTGAAAAAGTGTTTGCACCGGGCAGCATATAATCGAGAGGAAGTGCTTGCATTGAACATCCTACAATGACATGTCCTTTTCCTCAGCAACCTGCTTCCTTTAATCCGTATTTGATTTCCCCTTTTTTTTTTTTTGCCCACTACTGGATGGTATTTCTAATGTAAGCTACAAGATTTTTTAGTATTCACAAGCCATTTTATGCATGTAATTTTACATTGCATCAATTGCAGCTTTGTCTTAGTTCGTATCTGTGTTTAATTATCTGAATTATGATCCAAAAACCTTCTTAATCCTCATCATATTATTCAAATGTTAGCTTCTGACATTTTATTATACGCAGGGTTATGCATACATACTTACACACCCAGGAATTCCAACAGTTTTCTATGACCAGTTTTATGACTGGGATACCTCCATTCATGACCAAATAGTGAAACTGGTATGCTAAGTTTCTGTTTCTATCTATTAAATATTCATTGCTCGAGGAAAAGCTCCTCAGAAAATTTCTACTGTGTCTGCAGATTGACATTAGAAAGCGCCAAGACATCCACAGTCGATCATCTATCAGGATTTTTGAGGCCCAGCCAAACCTCTATTCTGCAATGATTGGGGAGAAAGTGTGCATGAAGATTGGAGATGGATCCTGGTGCCCATCTGGCAGAGAATGGACACTGGCAACCTGTGGGCATAAATATGCTGTGTGGCACAAGTAATTCCCAACTTATTCCTGGAGTGTAATGGGGTGATTTGGTAGAGATCATGTTCTACAGCCACTAGCTAGAATTATATTGCTACTGTATGAATAATACTTTTCATCTCCAATTTTGCATTGGAAAATATTGTACGGAGTTTTATCCTGAAAACTAATCTAAAATAAGACTCCATGAATGTTGCTTCTGATTCTTTGTTTAGAATAGTAAATAAATACCATGTCTTTAATAATTCTGGCCTGTGAACAAACAAGTTTGCATCCCATAAGACTATAAATTTCAAATATTTTAGATTTTAATTATTCAGGTGATTCAAAATTCAAGTATTTTTGCATGGACTCAAGGTGGAGAGCAGGAATTACACATGTCCGCTAGTCAGTTCTAAGGCTGGACACCAACCCGATATCAAAAAAAAAAAAAAAAAAAAAAAAAAAAGCGTTCTGACCGGGCCTTATCATGTGTGTAGAAATAGGTAAATTAACTAACCACGTGCTAACTATTATGAGGTTAAATATTTCTGGCCTAGAGTGAATATACAGAGAACAAGTTTACCCGTGAACAAGTCCCAATAAACATAATAGGCCAACGTATAAATATATGTTCATAAAAATGCTTGATCATTTTTTCTATTTAATTATTTATCTTAATAGTATGTACTGAGGAGTGATTGCAAAACTTGTCATATGTTGTGTTATTTTGTTTTTGTTTCTTTTATTGGTTATCTCATTAGGTTGCAAGTCAGGCGTTAGGAATTAGCTAACACTAGTCCGCTCCGGTTCAGATCATACATGGCTGACATCATAGGGCGGAACATGTGTAATGTCCTGCTCGGTCCAAACAACTCACCTCCAACCCCCTTGAAAGTCCTAAATTGCAACACAAAAAAAAAAAAAAAAATAAAACACATGAAAAATTTTTTAAAAAAATCAAAGGCCCTATTCATTCAGTATTATGAGCCTGTGAAGAATGATGCGTAAAAAAAAAAAAAAAAAAAAAAAAAAAAAAAAAAAATCAAGTATCATTCATATTATAGTAAAATATGAAAAATGACAGCATTTTAACTATACACTGTAATGTGTAATATTTCACGTATTTCTTTACACAAATCTGTATTCTGGGAATGTTAAAAATCTTGAGAAATGTTTTTGAGATTTAAACTAATCTAATTGAAAGCAAAATTACATTATTAACATTAAAATTCTACTTACTATTATTATTATAGCAAAAGATGTTAAACCTTCTGCCTTCATAATAATATTGTTATTGTTGCAAGAAAAATGGCTTCATCGTTTTAAAGATGTTGCCTATTTATATTTCGTATCTATGTTCTTTATATATATATATATATATATATACTACCGTATCTTAGTGAGCTGCTAACATATACTTCAAATCTAATATAAAACATTTAAAGTGACGGATTTCACTGCGTGTTTATATAAAGAGATCTATATATTATCCAGGTATTTACTAGCGTTAGTACTCAATATTCTCGATTCAAGCCCTGATATAGTAATAATATGTATATTAATGTTCTCAATTTCCAATGTCCTATTCCTGTCGATTGATTCTATATTATGTTTCTTATTAGTGATAAAATTATTAAGTTTAGAGTTATTTCAACTTCATGGCGAAACCTGTCAAAATTTATATTGTTTTCTTCCTAAATCATAGTATATATATAAATTATTTTCAAATCTTAAATCTTAAGCTCTATTTTTTTACCTTCCGAAAAATAAAAAAAAAAGAAACTCTCTTATTCTTATCCCTCAGTATATTTAAAATCCTCCCTCAGTCGCTATATCGGAACCAAATTTAGTTGGTAATAAATGGGTGTCACTTGCAATAGTTGCATGGCAAACGAGAGAAAAGAGAGTCACATTGACATTAGAGCTGGAAATGATTGCTTTCCGCACTGTATTCAACCATCATAAACCATCGTCATCGCCCTCATTTCAGTTTGTGTTTTGAGAACTCACACCCAAAACATACCTCCACTTCCCTACCCGTCCTTCTCTAAACAACAATAAGAACAGTTTTTAAACCACTATTAAAGTGTATACTAAAGACTTATTATATCAGGTTTTTATATAGTACAATTCTCGATTCAACTATTAGTAATAAATTATATTAATTTCAATTCAATTCAATTCCTTCGATGTTTAATTATGTTTCATTAGGATAAAATTATAGTTTAATTATCAACTTATGGGCGAAACCTGTCAAAATTTAATGTTTTCTCCTAAATCATATATATATATAAATATTTTTCAAATCTTAAAATCTAAACTCTATTTTTTACCTTCCAAAAATAATAAAAAAAAACTCTCTTATTTTTATCCCTCAATATTTAAAATCCGCCTGCTCAGTGCTATACGGAACAAATTTAGATTGGTAATAATGGGTGTCACTTGCAATAGTTGCATGGCAAGAGAGAAAGAGAGTCACATGACATTAGAGCTGGAAAGATGCTTTCGCCTATCACCATCATAACCATCGTCATCGCCCTCATCATTTGTGTTTTGAAACTCAACCAAACATACCCTTCCCTACCCGTCCCTTCTCTAAACACAATAAGACAGTTTTTTAAACCATTATCATCATTATTATATCTAATACATTATTACCAGACAATTCCTTCCCCTATCTCTTTCTCTCATGTGACATGCACACTGTTTGCCTAAGTCCGCCATTGAAAATTGTAAAAACAGAAAAAATTCCTATTTCGACCCTCAATTATACTTCCCTTCTTCAGCTTTATCCAATGTTTTCCACGCATACATCTCTCTCATCTACATCTTCTGTTTCTATATATTAATGGTTTAGAATTATCAAATGTCCCTCAACATGAGGAAAGCTATTACGCATGCATATATAACTTGAGATAAAATCTGGTTTTTTTCCCTCTAAATCTCAGTTAACAAATAGTTTCAGACATAACTAAATACTAATGATCATCATCAGCATGAAGAAATCATAATTATAATTGCATGAGAGACAGGAAGACCACATGCATCAAAAGTGAACTCATACTTAAAAGAGTCATATCAAAGGATGCATGGCATTATATACTTTTACATCGGCAGGCATGTCTCACGCTGTGGTAAAAAACCTTTCTGGTGTCAACATTTGTCTGCCACTCTCTTCCAAGAGGACAATTTGCATAATCAACCAATCAACATATATTTCTCTACTAATTAATCTTCTAATTACCTTATAAGATAAAGCAAACAAATTTAGATCATATATAAGTTTTTGCTTTAGACTTTTCAAATGTGTGAGCGTTTTCGGGTATCTATTGTTAATTATTTACACTTGTTCATGAAGAGTACATTTGGAAATCTTTCTTTTTTTTATTCAATAGCATTATTTAGGATATGGGTGAAAGAAAAAAAGAATTTTTGTTAATCAATAATTCCACTTTGCCTTCTTGAAAAGGTGAATAATGTATAAATAGTTATATATTCCTAAAGTTATGTTATTGATAAGACTCTTCTTTTCATTCTTAGCATAAAATCAAGCAATTTATATATAGAAAAGGTGGAACTTTGCTATACATGTTAATTACCAGTTAACCAAATTATTTTTCATTAGAAAAGGGCAAGACTTTTACCCTACAAAGGTGTTCCCTCCTGGTCACAACAAGTCAACCCACACAGACCAAGCATGGAATTAATTAATTAGTTGGTAAAAATAAAATCATTCTATTATAAAGAATCTAGATAGCTTTTTAAGGATATGAGGGAAAAACACTTGGAAAAAAAAAAAAAAGGATAGAACTCGAAATGCGAAAGTTAAAGAATGATGGTGATTCTATCTGTCTGACCAGCACCAAGAGGAATGAATGATTGGCAGTTTCTTTTTACATAAAGCAGAAAATCCAATACAATTACAATTGCAATTGGTGAACTTTTTTCAAGCATTCGCTTCAAACCCATAGCTCACAATCATGAGAAATAGTGGATTTCATGCATCGAGCTTTGCAATATTTACCCTAAAGTCTCCACCAACTCTCTTCCTTCTTTTGCAGCCAAAATGCCAAATGCTTTCCTTAATGAAAAGTCATTCCAACATCAATATGTTTTTTTTTTCCCCCCTTTTTGGCAGATGATAGAAAACGACAGCCCTTAATGCATTAGCTTAATAAAGTCTATCCATTTGTCACTTGATGCGTTGTTAAAGCAAACGACAACCCTAAATGCATTAGCTTAATAAAGCCTATCCATTTGTCACTTGATGCCGTTGTTAAAACAAACGATAAAGTTTGACAGTTGATTTAGTCGACCAGTTATTTTCTTCGTAAATTGAGATGAACAGTCCAGTTGATAATTTCTTCATAAAATCCGCATTTTCCAAATAATGAAACTCAAATAATCATCCATGAACCTGTAATTAACTAAGATGAATTTATACTATCCAAGTATGAACTTTTCAGTTACCAAAAATAAAAAAACTAGGTTAATGATTTAGTTTGAAATTGAACCAAAATTGGAATTATTACTGTTTTTGATTTTTCAAGGTTAGCTTTTGCGGTGATTATAGCTTGGAGACACCCGTTAATTTGAGAGAGAGTAAACATTAACATAGTCCCCACAATTGCACCCATCCTACAAGCTTCTGAAAAGGAATTAAAAGTCATACACATTGAGGATAAAAGCTGCACCTGAAATTGCACAAAAGTGCAGGGAGCAAAGCGCATGAACTTTTATCAAACCCTAGATTTTATGCCATTGAATTATAATATAAGAAAAATGAATTACTTTGTTACTTTTTTTAAAAAAATTAAGTTCAGAAATTTATAAATTTATAAATAACACTCTAAACCGTAAGAGTTATTCGAATTATAAAACACCATTAAATTCAGCAGACGACTTTTATAAAATCGGGATTAATTTCTTTTTTTTTTATTATTTTTTTTACCAAATAGATTATATGTGACTTGAACTTAATAGTTGAAACTTGTCTCAGATCATCCAAGCTACATAGTCAAATAATTCAATTTGTTGTCTATAAATGGAGGTGACTTTATAATTAATGATCAATGCGATTAGATGGATGAATTTGTTAGGTGCATTTCATATTTGTCAGAGAAATTTTCCTTATCGTATATAAATTCTTCCCATCTCTCCTGTGGGGAAGATCCCATTTGGTTCAATACTTATCCATTCATTTACCCCTTTGGCTACTCTACTGTATGCAAATTCTAATCAATTGATGGCAGATAGTCCTAAATTCCCAATTTAGGACTCCTTTGCTCTGCCAACTGAGTTTATAGACACACACCAAACCAATATAGTTAAGTGTGGTTGCAGGGAAACGTTAAGTAAAACTGTGTTTGAACTTCCTTTTATTAGGAAAGAAATTACTGAGCAAGTCCTTTCTCAATGGAAGTAAATTGAGAATTACTTCAAATCTGTTTGAAATTAATTTCAAAATAAAACCTCATTCAATCAGACATTTTCTAGTAAGTTTGTAAATAATGTAATAAACAGTATACTGTATTTCTCTTAACTTAAATAGTATAATTTTTGCTCATGATTTTTTATTTCTATTTTTCTGTATTAGAAATTTACATCTTCAAAAATATAAATACATTTACGATTATTTGTCGTTAGCAGTGGCCGAACCAGAAAAAAATAATTAAATGGGATAATATCGGAAAAAATTATTATTTTATAGGTAAAAAAATTAATATTTTATATATTTTATAAGATAAATCTAAAAAAAATTTAAAATTAGAGATGGCTGGGCGGCAACTTATTTTTTCATTTTGAAACACCAAATAACAACAATAAATATTTTCATTTTAGTAATATAATCATTTATCTTTTTTATAAACTTGATTCCCTAAAGACTAGGCATGTAAATAATTATAATTATTTAGATTGATATAAACTTTTAATAAAAAAAGAAATACCTAAATTCACATATATGGTTTCGTAATAATTGGATGAGAAGTGAGAAATGAGTAGAAGCAAGCAAGATATAATAAATTTACGAAAAAAAAAAAAGAAGTAGCGAGGCCAGCCAGGTGTAAGCAATAAATACAAAGACCAAGTGGGCAGAGTTACTATTCTTAAATTTTGACTGTCCCAATGATTCAATCATGGCTCTGACACGAACTGAGTAGGACAACTGGTGCGTACGCTGTACCTCTAATTGGACGTGGAGAACAAAGTCAATTTCACTCCGGCAAACTTCTCCTATCCTCTATTCTCTTTTCAAACTTTCAACTGTAAAAAAATTTATTAACTAATGCTATTGGTGGGTCAAAGTTAATACTAAAGTATAAAACAGTTTCCATCTCATAAATACCCTACGTATTTGTTATTAGTATTTGTGGGAGTTTGTTCTTTTTCTTTTATTTTTATACTACACTCAAAATTATTATTATTATTATTATTATTATTTGTACACTCAGACACAGACACTTATCACAAAGACGTATCAATCGACAAAAGGGTAGATTTCATCTCTCTCCCTCTCTTTATATGCATAGATTATCTTTCCTTCTTTTTTTATCTCTTTTGGGAAGTGTGGCGCACGTGACTCTAATAATAATTTATTTTTTATGAAAAAGAAAAAACATTTAATTATTTCATATTTATGTGTTGGGCAAAATTAGCGGTTTACAATCCAGTCCCTCAACCCTAAAATAGCATTCCAGAACACTTTAATTAATTAGTTTAGGAAGAGTTCGAAGGGTTGCAACCATCGACTTAGCCGCAGAGCGCCACTAGGCGAAGACTGCTCAAAGAAGGGATCACTTCGACTGAAGCAACTTCAACCTTCCAAATACTATGCTATGTAAAAATATATTAAACGGTATATGAAAAATTATTACCGAATATAATTTCAATTACTTAAAAAGAAATTTTGTTTATATACTCAAGAGATGTAATCTCGTTTGCACTTTAGAGCATAAAAGTTATTAATCCTTCCAATAAAGTTCAGTTTCAAAAAATCAAATTTGCATTTTCACCCACTCTTACCGTTTTTACCTGTACCGACCTTAAAAAGAAAGTTTGTCGCATGAAAATTGGTTATTAACTTAACTTCAGCTGGTGACTGTAGAGGAGAAAAGGGGTGGCAGCGATGTGAATGTATATTATAATTATAGTAGATTGACCTATGTTTTACCTTTTAATCGCATTATAAACTTGTCTAATGTAGGTCAAAAAGGACGTGTTTGAAATTTAGGGGAAGAATTTGTAGTGCCGGTGCAAGAAAGAATATAAGTATGTACCTAGGATTCCACACTCATTACCTTAGTGGTGTCATTGTAGGACCAAAGATGGACGAGTGGGGTCCTCACCAATCCCCCTATATGTTTGTTCCATTACTCTTTGTTGGATTATCACTTACATATTTTCTAATTCGATATCATATCTGAAACTTGAAATTGCTCGTTTTAGATTGTGACAGCAAGAAAAATCTTGGACTGTAACATTAAATCCATGGTTATAGCTAGAAATATATACAGATAGCAAGTCAAAAACCCTAACAAATACCACGCTGGCATAATGAACCGTTTGATGTGTTAGATTAGAGTTAAACAAAGTCTATTAGCACTTGATGAATTGGTTTAATCATTCAACTTAATTAATTGTTAGCTAGGTGTCAAGTCAAAACAAGGGCCTAGCTATTTCCACGCTGGTATAATGAGCTATATTGATGTTAGCTAGGAAGGTGACAAACTCCATTAATACTTTGATGAACACCAGCAATAAATGGCATGCCAAGGTAGATTTAATTCATCATTTCTACCCAAAAATGCTTATTGGGATTTTTTCTTATACCATTTACGCTCCTTTTAAAAAAGGGCAATGACCCCAACTTGACCCTTAATTAACCATTTTGATATATGTTCTAAATAAATTACAAAGATTTGATATACGTTTCATAACTTAAAATGATATATATAACACAATATGAGCATTTTTAATTTAAAAAAATTCTACATGAGATGAAGTGAATTTCTCATTGATGTTATTAACGCTCTGTCAGTGAGCTTTGCCACGGTTAAAGCAACTAACGTGCCACTGCCAATTATTTTATGTTACATGTAAAGCGTGATTTACAGTAACCGGAAGGTTACAGCCCCAGCCACGCCAGTAATCAAACGGCTCTAGATAATCGCGCAGCGCGCTACAAGGGCCCAGATTAATTGATGATGTTATTAGATGATGGAGCCTTGGCTGGTAGCTGTGGAGCGGTAGCAAAAACATGAGCTGAGGAGTACAGAGAAAGCCCTCCTCATAAAACAAAAGAAAGCTGCTTTTTAATCTGAAACTGAAGAATTTGCACTTGTTTTGTCATTATATGGCCAGTAATTGATTTAATTAATTAATTAAACAAACACCAACAAGTATTACTTATAGAAGGGCAAAACCAACCCACTCCCTTTTGAGTTTGGGATATGCGTGTGTGAATATTTGGCATCAGAAACGAGGGGGTTAAAAAGGAAGAGAGCATTATGGGAGAGGAGAGGAGGAGAGGGTGTGAAACTCTAGAAAAGAAAAGACTGAAGAGAAGGGAGGTTGGGTTTCATCAAGAACGAGGGCAAATGGCAAGAATAACTATGATGATCCTTTGATCCTTCTAAATATATGCCCTATTTCGTAGAGTATAAGAGAGGGAAATAGAGAATGGAATGAACCATCATCCAATCTGATTAGTATTTATTTATCTATTGTCTTTTTGAGTCCGAAATCACTTCTTCTTCGTCTCTCTTTTGCTCCCCTTTCAATTAATTACACCCATCACCTATCACCCTCCACCCCGCTCCTCTCTCTCTTATTTACTATGCTACCGTCCTCACCTCTCATCTTAAATATACCCATCTGCTCTTATGGCTTCATCCATCCTCTATTATTCTCTGCTGGCCTCCTCCATCTTGTATTATCTTCTCCGTTCTAAAATAATAATTCACTTATTTAGTTTAAGATTTTTGAATTAATTATTTATGTTTCTATTAATAAAATTAATAAGGTAAAATAATAATACTCGTAAATAACTAATCGATGGCTACCCCTCGGCCTCTCTCTCTCTCTCTGTATATGTTTGTGTCCTCCGGTGGTGAATACAAGGGACAGTCTTTAGCTTTCATGTGGGTTTAACAAAGGGTTTCTTACAGAGTTTATTGGCATTCTGTCCACCTCCTTGTTGAAATCTCTCTTTCTCTCTCTCTCTCTCTCTCTCTCTCGCTCGAGTATTTTTATGGAGGTGGGCATACTGCCAACTGAGCTCTGTTGGTCTCTCTTTGTAAAACCCTCGTGATTTTTCCTTCACTTCTCTCTCTTCTGCGACAAAGGTCAAGGTAAACTACTTTTTGCACTTTCTTCGTCTATTTTTTTTTTTCATAAATTCGTGTTAATTTTTTTTTCTTTTTTATGTTTGTAATGATCGGATGGTGTTAGTTTCATGCCCTCATAGCCATGTACTCTTTATCACCCAAACTTCACTTTCTATTTTCTGCAAGAATATGAGGGAAAGGGGAAAAAAAATGAAGGAAACGACTTGTTTAAAGTACTTCCTTTTAACAATCTGTAGTTCAACAGATTGTCCAATTATCTGCAAAATATGATTGATGGAGGCTATGATCAAATATTGAAGCACAAGTCTTCACTTTGGTTTCGTCAAATTTCAGATCTTTATGTGTGGCTGTTAGATTTTGAAGCTGAACTTCATATTTAAACCCTTATTTTTTATTTGCCCATCTCTTTCTTTTCTGGGGTTCTGTTGTTTCTTTTTATTTGATCAAGCAGTGCATAATACTAAGATTTTTTCTTTTCGTCTTCGTTTATATCGCTTCCGATCTAGGGTTTTGTCAGTCCTGTTTTCTGTTTCTTGTTCTTGTCTCTTAAAATCTAAACCAGGGAGTTAGGGCTCAATATTGAAGAGATTCAAGATTTCGGAGGAGCTTGTATTCCATTAGTGAAGGCCGCCGATACGCTCCTATACCCAAACGGTGGCTAAGAGCTGTAAATTTGCAATCATCTTCTCGACATGTATGGTATATCTGCAGATATAAAACACCGATTATGCAAGATTAATTATCAGATCACAATTAAAGGTGGAGATCTCATTGTTCATGGCTTCATGCATGTCTGCCACCGTTGTCCATTTACCTATTTAATTTCATTTAATTTCACTATTTAATTATTGTAGGGCATGTCCTTCATTTTTAGGGCAGACCTATTACTGTATACGTTTCTACGCTCGCCGAGCCTCAGTATACGTAGGCTCATGATTGAAGACTGACACCGCTTTTAAATTGATGTAAAACAATATGCCCACATCCTATTGTAGGGAGGTGGATGTCACATCCAATCTCGCGACTGAGATGCTCCTTCTCAACTCTCAAGTCAAAGAATTGACTGGGAAACGGATTCTTATTGGTTCGTGGGTTCACGCAGAATGAATGGCGATTGGAGAGATTGGTTTGTATTCGTAAGGGGAGGGGTAAGGATGGATTTTCCTTTACTTTTAGTACCATGGAGGCTCTCCTTCTGAAAAGCCACTTTCGTTTTGGAGATGAAGGTGTTGCTTTTTAAGGCTTCTGTTCTATTCTATTCCTTTTGGGTCAAATGGGATTTGAATTTAGTCATGGGTAGGACAAGAGAGAGTTAAAATAAAAGTTGGATTTTGATGATAATTTATAATTATTCTAGCGGGGACCATAATGGCAGTGCAAGTGAGAGTGGCCACTTTTCACTTGTTCACTTCACAAAACTGAGGATTGGAATTGGAGGGACCATTTCTTTTATAATGGCAATGTAACACATTTTGCTGGAAGGCGGAAATCTTGACTTGCTATTACCAGCGCGCGATTACACCTTCTTGTTATATAAAATAAACAATAATTTAAAGAGTAATTTATTCATTTTACCAAAAAAAAAAAAAGTCATTGAAGTTTTATTTTTTTTTTTTTTGTAAAGGAAGCATAAGCTTGGAAGTTATATAGAAGAGGTATCACGACACCGTCACTGATCATTAAAATTTCAACGGTCGTATAAATTGATATCGAAAATTAGGTTTTTGGTTTTTGGCTTTTGGCATGATATGTGTTTTTTAGGGGAACAAGAAAGATAAAAGAAAAAATGAAAAAGGAAGGGCCAAATGTTATTCAATAAAAGAAGAAATCTGAGGAATATGTTATTGGCAGTTATGAAAATGAAATTTCGGCCATTGAAAGTTTGAAACATTTAAAAGATGAGGTTTAGGTGCAGTATAATTTCTTCAATAATGCCTTTTTTTTTTTTTTTTCTCCTATCGAAAATAGGTTTTTGGTTTTGGCTTTGGGTGACCGCGTCCTATATACGCACGTGATCACTGGCGTGCATGCGTTTATACAGGCTGCGATTCGCCATCTGTAGCCGTGGTAACAATCGACAAACGAGATAAAAGAGAAAAATGAAAACCAGAAGGGCAAAAATGTTACTTCTAAATAAAAGACAAGAAATCCTGAGGAATATGTTATTGGCAGTATTATGAACAACTGAACATTCTCGGCCACATTGAACAGTTTGAAAGCGCCTATTTTAAAGATCGAGGCTTTAGGTGCCAGTATATATTTCTTCATATGCCTTTTTTTTTTTTTTTTTCTCCCCAATAATTGTTCTATGATTCATTACTCTGTAATAATGGGGTACGTTTACTGCAACCTTTTGAGCCTTGACTATGTTAAACAGTCTCGACCTTTTTTTTTTTTTTTTCTCCCTTCAATAATGTTATGATTCATATTGTAATAATGGTACGTTTACCTGCAACCTTTTGAGCTTGACTAGTTAAAGTCTGAACCTAATTAAACCCTTTCGATTCCTAGCTACCCACCCAGTCATGTCATAACGATCGTGTCTTGAAAATTTATTAATATACTATTTTTTAAATATCATTTTAACTGTTCTTGAGAAAAAATAATTTTTAAGTACTGTTAATTATTTTGTAGTTTTTCTAATTATTATAATATGAAATTTATTTTTTAAAAAATTTTACGATTTCTAGTTAACATTTTTAAGAAATGCACTTTTTTTGAATGGAAGAAATGCACTTTTTAATTGTTATTTAAATTTTAAACCTGAGAAAGGACCTGTTATGCAAAAGTTTTTTCACTATCTTTTACTGTTTGGTCTAATCGAAACTCTAATTATAATTAGGGCGTTTTTCCGGGTTCTTTTAGCATCGTATTAAGGAAAAAGGTTAGCAAAAAGGTTTAAATTTCCGACCATTGATGTAATGCTTCCAAAAATACTAAATTACTAGTTGGTTGGACGGGAGGACTTTGATTCAAGAGAATAAGACTTTCAGTTGTAACCATAAAATTAAAAAAGATGCGAATTTTACTGGTATTAAATGTGTTTTTGTCTTACTGCCATTAAAGGGCTCTGCAAACGGGTGCAAAAGGCCCAAAACAAGGCATTCGTAATAGTGAGTACTCTGTCTTCTTTTGTCGTTGAAGCACAAGAACATACGTGGAACGTTAAAAATAAGCATGAAGTTCAAGGAAGATAAAGAAAACACTAAATCAACGTAAGAAATTATGGGGCTTCCAGATATAAGAGATTTTTGGAGTTGAGATATTGATGAGACATGTATTTGCTACTGAAATTACAAATACAATAACTTGAAGCAGTTGTTCTGTGACTTCTATTGAAGACTCTACACATCTAAAGAAAACAATTAAGCAAAATGTGTTTATGCAACTAGACTATGATGAAAAAGTATATTGAGAGTTCCCAGGCATGTTCTCAATCTGCTTGTGAAGGAATTAAACAACACCATCTGTCCTATCTACCTTCACTACGTATCAGAATTACAAAACTAGCTTTCTCCTGCCCTGAGTAGATCAAGCTATCTACACCTGGTTCACAAGCATTACTAGATTCTTCTTGAGCTATGGACTATTTTTTCCTTCAAATTAGAAAGTTAGTTTCTGCAATGTTTGAATTGGCGAGTCCTTTAACTTGCTCTTGGCAAGCCGATGCGTCTTTCCACTTGGGATTCTTATTTTTTTATAGGAAGAGTCAAATTGAGAGGCTGAAGGACTACGTTGAAAAGAAAAAGGGCTGGGTGACAGTGGCTTTTGTCTCGGAATTCCTCCCTGGTCGAACAAATAAGATGTCTCTGCTGCTGCACGTTGCCTGGTGGCATCATCCACATATAGGAGATCGTCGATTCTTGCCATTATATTGAAGGCTAAGCTTTCTGTCACCCTTGAATAGCTCTCAATGATGGCATGCCCTACATCCTGCAATGAGGAAGTTTTTAGTTTTATTTGTCCCATTCATGTGTGGCTCTCAACAAGCAATAGCCAGAGAATGATGCTTAGATAATAAAATATAGACCATACCTTGTTATATTGAATCTTGTTCATGTCCAAAGTAGTCTGAGGGAGGGCAGGGAAACGCAGCCTTAGGCTATGTAGGAGGGTCTCTGCCCGTCTTGCTAGAAGCTTGCATCGTTGCACTTCACCAACGAAGCCTTTGACCTTGCCTCCCCATGATGACCTCTTTTCAGCCCTTGAATGCGCTGTCTGGCCTTTAAGGTATTTTTTCCTCCAAATATGTGCAGCAGCTTCTATCCTGTTTGCTATTTCCAAAGTGGAGTATTCTGATGACAGGTCTAAGTGATCCAGAATACAATCTGGAGAGAAGTGATTGGCAGTTATATAACTATATACATTCTCCCCCAAACAAGCTTTCCCACTCTGAAAGATTAACAGATGCCATGAAACCAAAAATTAGGATGTTTAAAGGAAAAAGAAATCATAACAAATGAATTGCTTATACAGTTGGTAGCAACTAATCGAAAAGCATTTTGTCTAATAACTTCAATCAGCAAATCACTTCATAAACCAGAACGCATGAAATATTTGTTCTCAAACAAATACATAGCACCGAGCACATTATAAGAAGAAAATTTTTCGGTGCTCTAACTGTACCTCTCAAGGAAAGCTCATTAATCATGTCTAATTCTATTGCTGCAAGTTTCCAGAACATTTTCCTGTATTTTAAAGCGTAACCTCATGCAGTATATAGCCTCAAAAAAAAAGTAAAAAATGAGAGACACAGAAAAGGAACACACCCACATCAACAAAATAACAGAACTCTTTAAAATTTGATATTACTGCGAACTAAGAAGAAAAGTTTCCAATTGATTGCCCCACGCGCCGCGCAAACCACCCCCCCACCCAAACGAAAGAAAAAGAAAAAAAACACTGGTCTCACATTTATAGCAGACTGGTTGTGCAAAAATAAAATTTCATACCGCAGGGGGTGTTCCATACCTTGGGCAAGCTCTCCAAGTAAGCATTTGGAATTTCCATCTCACTCAACACACTGTTATTAATTGCCATGGCAGCCTTAAGTATTTGATTTGTGCATTCCCTACATTGCTGTAATCTCTTTCTTGTATCTTCAGATAAACCATTCCGGGGAACCTTGGGAAAGGGAAGCCAGCACTTCTCTTCCTGATTAATTGGAAGTCTTGAAGAAGATGAAAATAAAGGAAATGATTTTGTTTCATCGCCAACAGCAACCATTACCTTGCTATCAACATAACTGAAATCTGAATTGCAAAACCCATCAAGAATGCTAAGCAACATGGCATCAAGCTTCTTGAGTGCTGGAAGGTTTACATGTAGATCTGAGCGAGGCCGAGGCACCATAACCTCAAAGGTTGCACCACTTGGGAAATCTTGCATTGACGGAACAAGCTCCACTATGGAATTACTGACACACAGAAGCCATTCCATCTCACGGTGCCACATGGACTTTTTCGGTTGTGCTAGTGGCTCTAACTTCCACTGCTCCCCAAAAACAGAAGCTGCCAAATACACCCCAACATGAGCAGATTTGCATAAAAAAAAAATAAAAATATCTTAGCAAATCCATGTGGAGGATTTGGACAACAAACATAATAAACATTATACATGCTATCTTTTTCTTAAGCAGCCAAATGACTTCAGGCAAAAGAGTTTAGATAAAATTAACCGACAACTAAAAGAAAAAAGGAAGGTGAAATTACTAACCAGATAAATTTGTAATGGCATTGGAGATGGCTAGAGCTGTGCAAACTCCATTGCCTCTACCTGACATGTCTTCTCCAAGCAGAAGCTTAGCAAATCGCTCTTTCATCATTTCAACCTCTGCAATCCCACAAAAATCCATTAACTACACTGATTATACAAAACGTTTGCCCTCAAATTTGGAATTTTTCCACTCAGACTCATTAACAATAAACAGATTCGGAGCACCAACTGTTTGGTGCTAAGTTAAAATGAGTAACAGATGGACATTTACATCAATTAACAACTTAATTAACAAGAAAATGCTGTTAAGAACCCTCAAATTTAGGGGGAAATCATCTAATAAAAAAAAATCTCAATTTAGCCAAGAGAGAAAAGAAAAGGAAGTTCTATAAAACTAACCAGACAAACCAGTATCCGGTTTAACTGCCCCCTTCGTTGGAATCGTAACGTGCCTGCCACTAACTACCGGCAGCATTATAGGAAGCGGTGGCGGGGAATTGAAACCGTCATGGAATTGAGGTCCTGTGAGCGGCGAAGAAGTGAAAGAAGTGGAAGCGCCTTGGTGATCGTAATGCGGGCAGGAGAAGCTACTCGAACTCTCCGATTCACTGACATCAGCACTTAAACTGTAGCTGTCAAATTCACATCGCTCGCTCAATTGATCAAGCTCTTCCTCTGACGAAACAGTCTCCATTGATCAAAAATCGAAAAGAAAAGAATAGTATCGCTCAACGTAATGATGCGATTGTGATGGGAACTATGGATCACAACCGTACATTCCTTTCTGGTAAGAAGATGGAACTAGACTGAATTTGGAAAATAGAGTAGTGATTGAGAGAAGGAAAAGGGAAAGTTAACACCATAAAAGCTTTTTCTGGTTTCCACTGAAGTCTTCTCTTCTCATTCATGTGGCCGTTGGCTTTGGTAACAGCAGTCCCCACTTCCCACCAAAAGAACACAAAGCTGTTGCTTTCTCAGTTTCGGTTGCTCCACGAGCTTACGTGTAACTGTGGAACGTGGATATCACGGTCCAATCACCTGTGGCCTTCTGGGCACGCGCTACAAAGATATTCTCTGTGCTAATTTCAATTTAAGTTGGCGGACGACCTAGACAATATCCAAGCTATAAGTTTTAAGCCGGACCCGCAGGAATTTGAGGTAATGGAAAATGCCTATTTAATTTTTTATGTTTTATTAAAATGAAAATATAGTTAATAAATTGTGATTAAACTATACGTCGAATTACAATTAATGCAAACAATTGCATATGAAAAGTGAATAACTAAATTGAATTGGTTAGAAAAACATGCATCCATCCGTAACTTTTTTTTTTTTTCTTCCTTTTAACTATCGGTATTTAGGTCCTATTATTAGAGACCGATTTAATCCGATTCGAAGCTTAGTCACATTTAAAACTTTTTATTCCTCCCTTTAAATGTGTATTTAATTGAAATCAACCCGATAATTCTTTCCACATGTCCAAACATGTCTTACTAACTGAGCCACAATCGCATAAACACACAATCATATAAATTTATCAATGTTTTTTAGCTCCTTCACATTATTTTTATATGTACATATTTTTAAAAGTTGAAAAAAAATAAATTTCCTTAAAAAATTAAGATATTTTAAAAAAATATAATAACAATTGTAGTATATTTAATTAAAGTGATTTTTCATGACCATGTTAAATTTAGTAATCAAACACTCATTGATCACTATATGTTATAAATAAACCAAAAATAAGAAATAAGTAAGAAAATTAAAAATAGTTTTGATTTTAAATTGCTACAAAAAACAGGTGGAAACTGGGAACATAGATCGCGTAGCACAGTGCAATACCTTTTAAAGATTGAAGCACGACGTGTGCCATCGCGAGCTGTGGTCCCATGGATCATGACGTACCTTAAAAGGACAATTTTCCAAGACCATGGCAACATTGTGGAACAAAATGGTGTCATAATGAACCTGAAGCAAGAATTTAATTTAATTTAATTATTAGTTTTAATTAAACCAATTAAAATTGATTTAAAAACTAATTTTAGATGTTTAATACAATTTTAAAATCAAATTAATCATTTATCCTAGGACTGTGTAACAGTGTCCTTGTTTGGCTACTGAAAGCCTTTCTATGATATCCTTAAACGGCGTAATAATGTTATCATTTGCACGCAATCCGCATTGCTTTCGCTTTCTTTGTAGTATTTCCGCCCCTTATATTGCGCGCCGCCTTCAAAATCAAGTTGTATCAAGGACGGCAAGTATTCCTGTTTTCTTGTTTCCTTCGCTCAAGAGAACCTGCAATAAAACTACTACTCGTCTCTCTCGGTCAACAATGGGGTCGCTCTCTGCTATTAACGGACCTCTTCAGTATCCAATTGCTCGGAGGGATGAGTCCGTAGTCGATGATTACCACGGCGTTAAAGTCGCCGATCCTTATCGATGGTAATGGAATTGGATTTGGATTTTGTTTCTTAAGAGTAATGTGTTTGATGTTATTTGTTTGATTTTGGTAGGCTTGAAGATCCGGATGCCGAGGAAGTGAAAGACTTCGTGGAAAAACAGGTGAAATTGACGGAAAGTGTGTTGAAGTCATGCGACGTCAGAGAAAAGATTCGCGAGAAAATCACAAAGCTATTTGATCATCCACGCTATGACGCGCCGTTCAGACGAGGGGATAAATATTTTTATTTTCATAACACCGGCCTTCAAGCACAAAACGTTCTCTACGTGCAGGTAATTTGTAATCTACAGTTTAATCGAATTTAGAGAAGGTGATTCATGTTTTTAATTGTTTTTGACTTGTTTAATTGATAAAATATAGGATAGTTTAGATGGAGAGCCGGAGGTTTTACTTGATCCCAATGCGCTCAGTGAGGATGGAACAGTCTCATTGAACACGCTTTCGGTTAGTGAGGATGCTAAGTATTTGGCATATGGGCTTAGCTCGAGTGGGAGTGATTGGGTGACGATCAAAGTTATGCGAGTTAACGATAAGAAAGTCGAAGCGGACACGTTGTCTTGGGTAAGAGTTTGCTGCTTTCTTTTATCTTGGGGGAGGGGAGATGTTTGACGGTTTTGATGTTTAAGATTTGTGAGCTTATTGTTATATGTGAATTTTTTTTTATCCAGGTTAAGTTTTCCGGTATTGCTTGGACCCATGACAGCAAAGGGTTTTTCTATAGCCGTTATCCACCTCCCAAGTATGTAATCACTCTGTCATTTCATTTCATATGAAATTCCAACTTTGAATTTTAACAGTTCCCATCAATTCCAGTAAATGTTTGGGACAAAAGTTAGGAGAACATGGATTTAGTTATTATGGTTGGTGTTGACAATGGATAGTTTGAATTTTGAATTTTTCTGCAGGGAGGGAGAAAACTTGGATGCCGGGACAGAGACTAATTCTAATCTTTATCATGAACTATACTATCATTTCTTGGGTACGGATCAATCTGAAGATATACTATGCTGGAAAGACCCTGAAAACCCCAAATACATGTTTTCAGCTGGTGTAACAGAAGATGGAAAGGCAAGCCTTGTTTCATATTTTATCTATGCGTTTGTTGAGTAATGGTTGATCAAGTGCTTTACACTTCATTTGTCTTGATATGCAAGTATATTATCATGATAAACATTTAAGACTTAGTTCAAACTCTTATAAAGGATTATATATAAAAAAAAAACTTCCAGATGCTAGAGGCAAAAGGAGGTTGACATGCAACTGAATCCTCCAACAGTAAATCATTGGGGAAGCCCTAATTTGTTTGAACTTTGCTCTTCTGCAAAATCTTTGGAGTATCATTGACTGTTTGAATTATTTGAGTCCTATGCATCTCCGTGTGCTAATAGGATTCATGGATACTATGTGATTGTTTATACACGTATTCCCAGTATGCATTGACTTATAGCAGGATGAAGAATGCATATTTATGTCAAATTCCTTCAACCTGACTTAATTTCATATGTTGTTCTGCAGTATCTTCTCCTTTACATTGAGGAGAGCTGTGATCCTGTCAACAAAATATACTACTGTGATATGTCTATATTTCCTGAAGGCCTTGGAGGATTCAGTGGAAATGGCCTTCTCCCATTTCTTAAGCTTGTAGATAACTTTGATGCACAATATCATGCCATTGCAAATGATGACACATCGTTTACTTTTTTGACCAATAAAGATGCTCCCAAGTATAAACTAGTCCGAGTAGATTTGAAAGAGCCAAGTATTTGGACTGATGTTGTCTCAGAAGCTGAAAAAGATGTCCTTGAATCAGCAAGGGCTGTTAATGGTAATCAAATGATCTTGAGTTACTTGAGTGATGTGAAATATGTTCTACAGGTAAGGGATCTGAAAACAGGGTCACTGCTGCATCAATTGCCAATTGACATAGGCACAGTTAGTGGGATATCTGCACGGCGGAAGGATAGCACAGTGTTTATTGGGTTTACTAGTTTTCTTACTCCTGGTATCATATATCAATGCAATTTAGACACTCCAGTTCCAGAAATGAAGATATTTCGTGAAATTAGCGTTGCAGGATTTGATCGCACAGAGTTCCATGTGGATCAGGTGACTGTTGCCTTCCTTTCTAATTTTGCAGCATTACTTCCGATCCCAGATGTGTTTCCTATTTGATCGGTTCTTTGTTTCCAGGTCTTTGTTCCTAGCAAGGATGGTGTTAAGATACCAATGTTTATTGTGGCCAAGAAGAACATAAAATTGGATGGATCACACCCATGCTTGTTATATGGATATGGTGGATTTAACATTAGTTTGACACCATCATTTAGTGTCAGTCGTATTACACTGACTAGGCATTTAGGTGCTGTTTACTGCATTGCAAATATTCGAGGTGGTGGAGAATATGGCGAGGAATGGCATAAAGCAGGCTCACTTGCAAAAAAGCAGAACTGCTTCGATGACTTCATTTCTGCAGCTGAGTACCTAATATCTACTGGTTATACCCAGCCGAGTAAGTTGTGCATTGAAGGTGGAAGCAATGGTGGGCTTCTTGTTGGGGCTTCTATAAATCAGGTAGAAAATTGATTGATTTGCCTACTTGCAAGCAAGTGCCATCTTTTATCATAATTTGACTTTGTTCAATATATTATTTGTCTCAGAGACCAGATCTTTTTGGTTGTGCTTTGGCCCATGTTGGTGTTATGGACATGCTGCGGTTCCACAAGTTTACAATAGGTTAGCCGACAATTAGCATCCTTTTGGCTGCACTAGTCCTTTCTTTTCCATCATATTCTCATGATTAAAGCTTTATTTGCAGGTCATGCATGGACTTCGGATTACGGCTGTTCAGACAACAAGGAAGAGTTCCATTGGCTAATTAAGTGAGTAAATTTAGTGTAAGAACTCAATGTGTCTTCCTATTGTAGGTACCTATTTTTCATAGTTAAGATGGTGGTGTTAAAAATAAAATACTGGGTCTTGCATTTGCGTTTGTTTGATACCCATGCTATAGTGGTTTCCCAGTCATTTAGAAACAATCACAAAAGAAAAACATAGGTTTATATATCATTATTATCATGATAAACGCAATCGAGTCAATTTGATTGCTACCTTGTTCTAAATTGCATAGCCCCAAGTTTTAGGCATGACGTTTATTACTTTTGACCAGAAAGGTTTTTGGATTCACTCTATAGCATAACCCTAAATAGTCTAATACATCCACAGCATCTTAACTAGGCAGATGAGATAGCTATACTATGAACTGGATCTCATGAACCTACTTGAAGTTAAGTATCAACTGGCATTTCAGAACGCGATGTCTTGTTGCTTGCTGTATAATCTTGTTATTCACTTTGAAATTGAATTATTTTCTGAGTGATTTTTTTTTTTTTCTGAAGTCCTCAACTTGCTTTTCTCAGGTATTCACCACTACATAATGTGCGGAGACCATGGGAACAGCATCCTGATCAACCTTGTCAGTACCCAGCCACCATGCTACTGACAGCTGATCACGACGATCGAGTTGTACCATTACATTCGCTTAAGTTATTGGCGGTTAGTTCTCCATAATTGAGAACATTTGCTATCACATACCATCTGCATTTGCTTGTATATCACAAATTCATATCAATTAGATGATATCTCGATGATTGATTGGTTCAATTGTAAATAATGACAAACTGCCACTTCATATTTCTGTAAAGGCTATTGGAAATTTACGCATAAACCTTTGCTCCCTTGGTCAATGAGTCCCCCGTACATTCACATCTGCTCCACTTGCGTGTCCTTTTTCACACTAAATGTTGCACTTGTTTTCAGACCATGCAATACGTTCTGTGCTCGAGCTTGGAAAACAGCCCGCAGACCAACCCAATAATTGGCCGCATCGACTGTAAGGCTGGACATGGAGCTGGGCGTCCAACACAAAAATTGGTAATATGGTTTATTGGTTGAATTGGTTCTTTTTCCGGAATTCCACACTTTTTTTATTTTGATATTTAACTTTGTTTTGGCAGATTGATGAAGCTGCTGATCGGTATGGCTTCATGGCAAAGGTGTTGGGTGCTGCTTGGACCGAGTAGCAGCTGACTCCTGTGACAAATGTAGTTCGAAGCTCAAAATACATCTAATGTTCACTTTCTCAATTTTCCCCTTTTTAATAAGGGAGAAAAAAAAAAGAATTACGTTATAGCATTTTGCCCCCTTTCAAGCTAGAATAGAAATGATTAATAACGTTATACCAAAGATAACATCTTCTCAGTTTTCGGCTAGAGTCATGCCGCATACCGTAATTTATAAATCTGTTTAAGATGGCAGTTCATTTCGTTTTCGTGTATCCATGGGTAAAAGATGCTCAACATTGTGTACTTCGATTTAAAAGTCCATAGAAAGCCCAAGCATAGTTTATAAGGCAGATTTTAGCCCGATTGATGGGCTCAGTTTGGGCCAAAAAAGCATACTGTAGCCCATAATGGAAAGTGAGGCCCGATTATAGGGGTGACGAAAAATATAGGCCCAGTTTTAGCCTCATTTATAGGCTAACTTTGGGCTGAAGAACCTATTCAGGCCCATAACAAAATTCAGGCCCAATTTTGTGGCCCAATTTCAGAATTCAAGCCCAACTTAAGCTCATTGTAAAAATTTTAGGCCCAATTTCAGCCTCAAATTCGGCTGACTTTGGGCCAGAAAGACCTACTGTAGGGCCATACTAAATGCAAGCCCATTTTCATGGCTCATTAAGAGAATTCCAAGCCCAGTTTTAGCCAATTTATTGGGCCTAAAATTCAAATATCGGCCCATAATAAAATTCAAGCCCATTTTCAAGGCCAATAGAATTTCGAGGCCCATTAAGAGAATTCCAAGCCCATTTGTTGCTTAATTTCCTTTAAACCTACTGCAGGCCCATTATGAAATCTAAGTCCAATATTAAGTCTTATTATTAATAATAACAGCTAAAAAAAAAAACAAATTAACAAATGAGGATGATTATTTTTCTTGTTAGGACTGGCACGTGTAATTGTAACCAAGTGAGTCCGCTGTTAGAAGCGCACTCCGTTTCGAAAACTCGTCAAATAAAGCTTTCCGTCGTTAAAGTTAGCACGTTCTTCCACTGTAGCTTTTTAATTTTATATTAATTTGACTTGAAGTTATTTCTCTAAACGTGAATACTGTTAATCGTTCATAACCAAGCAACCGACCACGGAAATTCCTTGCGTATAACACTGCAACTACTGGAGTGAATCGGCCTTTTTAGAAAATTTCTCAAACCCAAGATTCAGAGTTTTCCATATCAGCAGAGAAACAGCGAGAAGTAGACAGGTAAAAAAAAAAACAGACAATAGAATTGATCCAACTCATTCGGCCAGGAAACAGTCCATTTTCACTCCTGTAACATCAAGTTGCAGGATTTCTGCTCTGCATCCTAGAATTGATCCAATGCTGCCAAAGAAGACAGGTTTATTAATTACAAACTTTTAGATAAGGTGAAAAAAAAAAAAAAGACAAGTGAGATAATATCATTTTTCCTTTGTTGCTTACTTTGGATGCGTACGTCCTAAGTCTCCGTGAACAAATTCTTTGATATATGTCCCAGCCTGTTTTACATTTTTTAAAGTACAAAAGTGATCAAAGAAAATAATGAGAGATCTAATACTCTGTAAGGTTCATAGGGCATCGCTCAGCGCAATAAAGTGCAGTTTATTTCATGTCTTCAGATGTGTAAAAGATGCTTAATATTGTTGCTTGGAAACTTAATGTTTGTCAACGTTATCTATCAGCATAGCATGTGAAGAGAAAGGAGAATCTGTATTATAGTTAGAACTAAAAGAAAAAAAGGTTACCTGGGTACATAGATGCAAAAGAAAATATTGAGAGCTCTCTGCAATTGTTTCTATTTTCATCCTAGAATTGGGAAAGGAAGGAAGAGTGTTAGATTTTGTGAATACATAGGCTAATAAACAAGCTAGAATAACACAGTTCTGCATAATTGGAAATGCTCCAACCAATGTACAATCTTTTCACGTTCTAGTGGACTCCGACGGTGGAGCACCCTTATTGGTGTTCTCTGCAAAATTTGCTGAATGAGAATACACAAAAATTGAGCAGTTAACATGGGCCAAAAAAAATAAAAAAGGCAAATCAACCAATAGCAAAACCAGCTAAACTACTAAATTTCTACTGAATATGCTTGATCAAATCTAGAAGGTTTTGAGGAAAAGAATAGACGCTTCACGTTTCACTACATTAATTGCTGCTAGTTGGACTAGGAAGAAAAATAGGTAATGAAGCTCAAAGCAAGAGCTCACCAAGTCCTTGAGGTTAATGATAGAGTGCAAATCTTGGTCTTCAATTGGGCGCGAAATCCATACTAGTGCACAATATTGCTTCTGCAAGAAAAATACGATAGTAATAACAGGTCTAATTTTCTCAATGCATCTTGAATAATGAAGCATGATATACCATACATGAATACAAACCAAACGAAGAAAAAAAAAAAGAAGAAAAACCTGCTTTTCTGCTTCCCCTTCATGCATCAGATTCCAACCCTGATTGCCTACGATCTTAAGATTTCTAACCCCAACCTTCATGCAGAACATGCTTCTTGCAATTAATTTTAAGAGTTGAAAAGAGAAAGAAAGAGAACACTACATCAAATTTATATAACCAACTCACCAATTCAGTATTGAAGTTATTTATCTTTGTTTCTATTTCTTTCACAAGAGACTCAGATGGGACTAGGCGGGCATTTTGTATCTCAACCAGGAAAGGCCTACCAGAACCCAGCATTCGAACCTGAAGAGAGTAATATCAAAGATCACAACCATATTCATTCAATCAAACTGCACAAACAAGAGAGCCAATCTTCCATACATCGATATCCTCTCTACCAGCAGCATGAAACTTGTAACTGTCACCCTGACACATTGGAAGAATGTTGCCACCTATGATCTCCTATGTAAGGTAGGTAGAAAACCTGTTAGCTTTTAGTTCACCTTAACCTAAAAATATATTTCAGTTAGGAAGATAATGATCGTCAACAGCAAGCAAGAGGCACTACCTCAATGGATGTTTCTCCCATTCTTTCATCATCAATGATCCAACGTGTTTGACTCACATTCCTTGAAAACTGTAATATATAAAATACAAAATGTTAATGAAAATCATACAAGTCAACATAACCATTGAATATTCAAATATTTGTACATATGAGCTACACAATTTCGAAGAAGTTTTGATTACCATAACATTGCCACACAAATGTCAAATATTTGTACGTATGAGCTACACAATTTCGAAGAAGTTTTGATTACCATAACATTGCCACACAAATGTCAAATATTTGTACGTATGAGCTACACAATTTCGAAGAAGTTTTGATTACCATAACATTGCCACACAAATGTCAAATATTTGTACGTATGAGCTACACAATTTCGAAGAAGTTTTGCACAATTTTCGAAGAAGTTTTGATTTACTAAACATTGGCATGGGTTATGAGCTACACAATTTCGAAGAAGTTTTGATTACCATAACATTGCCACACAAATGTCAAATATTTGTACGTATGAGCTACACAATTTCGAAGAAGTTTTGATTACCATAACATTGCCACACAAATGTCAAATATTTGTACGTATGAGCTACACAATTTCGAAGAAGTTTTGATTACTACAACATTGGCATGGTAAAATGAATTGATGAAACTAAAATTTCGAGAAATGATATGAAGACATTCATATTTATGCAACTTGAAAAAAGATTCTTCTACAGAGGGATTTTTTTTCCTTGATAGAGGTCAAAAACAGGCAAAACTGTATTATAAAATTATTGGTCTGAAATGGTGACAAAAGAAGAGAGTATGCCAAGATTATTTTATTATCTTCCTGTCCTGTGTGTGACTCAAAGTAAGGAACACGATGCTTCCTCGTGATGCCACCGTAACAAGTTCTAAAGATTGTTTTCTAAAAACAAAAATTAAAATGATTTCTGAAGTATCTCATACCATGAGATTTGAGATTTATACAACATCTATATCAATGTAATTTTCCAAATAACAATAAGCTTACCTTCAGGTATCTTCCACCAAAGTATATAGGTGTCCTGTAGCAAAGAAAAACCAAGTGGCAGGGTGCATTGACCTGGAAGGTATAAACCGCAAACAGTCACAGCCAGTAAGGAATACCATCACCTAAGCCAACAAACAGCAATCACTTAACACACATGAACAGAGTATTTCATTTCAACCATCACGTAACAGTTGTCACTTTTTCATTCTTTTGAACTTTATAATTTTTGAAAACCATGAATATTCATATTGTCGAAGTTTCAGCATAACTAAATTGATGACATGCAGGAACCAGATCAAACCCAATTAATGCACAGATTGCAGCAGAAACAAGAAAGAGAATCACCTTGTCCCTGGGGAATATGACGCACTCAGAAGATTCATGATCTTCCAAACCATTAAAAAAAATCTCAGAGAAAACATTTCCTTTGGCTTTGGATGAATCAAAACATTCGTTGCCAGCCTCCAATAACTTATCATTAATAGATTCCAAATCAGCATCAGTGTCTGCATGAATTGAAGCTACTTAAGCATCCAACACTTGTATAAAGTTTAATGAATCAGAAAATTACAGCTCTCAAGGATGTATGAAGAACATCAAATTCAGTATTGCAGTAATAGTAAATGCAACCAACCCAATGTTTAGAGGGGAGCACTTACATAGCCAAGAAAGCCAATCAGAGTTACAAAACAAAATCGACATCTCAAATTAAAAGTTATTTCCCTGATTTATCCATTCACACCTAAAATAAGTTTGCACAGAACCTGATAATTATGCAAGCAAGCACAAGTAGCAGTACAGCATCAAAATAAACAACTGATAAATAATCATGACCTTTCAGAAATAACAGCAACATTTCCTACAATATGCGAACAGATTTACATGCCTGTTTTCCTCCTCTTGCAACCTTCACCTCCCTCCACCACATTTGGAGCGGTACCTGATGGCTTAGCTTGGGTGTATGTCAGACGGATATGACAAGAGCCTGGAGCAGATTTGACATCCTGCAAAGCTTCAATTCATGCAGAACTAATTGGAAAGTGATTTTATTATCTTTTCTACTTCAAGCTTTTGAATTTTCAGTCTACTGTTAAAAGACTTATCTTTTCAAAAACCAGTTTATTTTTGCTTTGCAGGTCAATTGTACACATTTTCATCTTTTGTACCAAGACTTGAAATTAGGGATTTAGGATATAACAGTATTTGGTTTCCACTGCAAAAACCTTAATATTTAACTTTAAAGTGAAACTATGTCCCATCATTTATATGCAATTATGAGTTAAGTATGGGGGAAAAGGCCGAAATATATATCTTTGCTCTTTAAAGTAAGACTAAAAGAGTCAACTACTCAGTAATAACCAAATCCTGTTACTCTATGGACGAGTCTCGTGGTCAAATGCATATCACCGTAGTGTAGAATTCATAGTCAAAGTGTTGGAATCATGCAAGTTATAAATAAATTGATAAAATCCGAGATGTTTAATATACATTAGAACATGATATTGCCGTTACTTACCAATAAATTTTCAAGCGGATTTGCTATTGCAGACTTTAAGGCATCCTTTGCAGAAATGCATTTAGAAAGTCTTTCTTGGAACCAAAGTTCTGATCTATACTTCTTTTTCATGTACAAACTACAAAATGCAGAAACAGAAACAACTTTAGTCAGTATTGCAAGATGCAAGAGTCCAAAAACTTGAAATTTTAACATCAAACATGATCCACAGCGTCAAAATCACCAAATATAATTAGCAGTCAGAGTAAAACAACGCTTACTGAACAATTTGTTCGTTTTCAAGGATAATGTGTGGTATGGAGACTTCAAGAGAAAAGCTATCAATCTGATGACCCTCTCGCTTTATCAGCTCAGCAATTGATAAAGCCAAATTAATAGCACTGTTCTTTTTTACTGTTATTCCTTTATCATCACAGTAAATGAACTGCAAGATGCCTAAGCAAACGCGGCATAATTCTGGCTCAGTTTCTTCTGATTCCTTAAATATTGAAGGATCCTTAACATCTTCATCGACTTTCAAACTGGAGTTCACTGCATGCTTAACTGTACATGTTGGCTCGCCAAGAATACTACAAATTATTGATGGCAAGAGAGAAGAGGAAGAATAAATACGTCCACGGATTCCAAATAGCCGAAAGATGCATCTGGTGCATACCTAACATAGAAGAACTACATAACTTAGGACTTAAACACTGACAATCTATCTAGATTGCTTGAAAAATATCACAACCAACATGTTCCAACAGCTTAGAATATGAAAAGTAAATGTTCAATTGTTTTAAGTTGCGTTTCCATAGAAGCCAAACAAACCAGCGAGGAAGTCCACTCTAGGAGCAAAACTCTCAGTTTCCTAGCCAGCTGCTTTACTTCCTTGTCAAAGAGCTAATTCCACAATAAAAAAAGCTAAAACAGAATTGACGAAACTAAATACGCAAGAGTAAATAGAGAATGAAAAAAAAAAACCCTAATTAAGCCTCATAGTGAAGTACTAAGATCATTAGAAAGCGCACAAACCCCAATGGACAGAAGGTCCTTCACGGCGTGAGAAGGCAAAGAACGAACAGCTTCATTCAGGAGTTGCATGTCATCGTCGCCGGTGGTCGTGTTGGAGTCCGCAACAGGTGAAATAGCGTGCGCAGCTTCACTCTCGCTAGACATTCTAATTAATTTTCTGAAGGCAGTTACCGGCACTCTCGCTCCTCTTTTTTTGCAGGGGTCCGTGTAGAGAGAGTAGTGTGGTCTACAGATGCCTGACGGGGGTGGACTTCGGAAATAGTAGGTGTGTATTACTGTACACAGTTTGCTTTGTCATTGCTTGATCCTGGCCGTCCAAAATTATTAAAGTGAAATCCTTATGATGGACTAAAACTAACGACATGCCGTGTCCTTATTGCCGGCAATCAAAATACGCTTTATAAACTCCCATCTCCAATCCGACACAATACGAATTGATAAATTAACCAAAACGAACACATCAATAAACCCGAACTTTAACTATACCAAGCGATTTTACTCGAGGAACGTCGTTGAACGACAACAACCATAAATGCGATACATGCAACGGCACATCCTCTTTTCTTTTTTTAGCTGTTCAATAATTAGATGACAAAAATCAAACTGATTTTTATGCCGTTCCTTGCTGGGGTTTTATGTTGACGTTCCATAATGCGTTAATTTGTTTTCAATCTTCCGTATAATCAGGATTTCTGATCGTGATTACCACTTGACTTGCAAACTATATCTAATTTTATTTTTATAATTCTAACATATAATTCTTTTTTTTTTTCATAATACTCCTTTCTATTATCCAAGAGAAAATTACCTTGTCTTATTAACCAAATGATTTTTAAAAAAATGCTATGAAATAATTGACATCAAGTGCAGATTTCGCTACAATACAAATACTGTAGAATGAAGACAAAAGATTCATATTTTCAATCCTAATAACTATAAGATTTAGTTATTGTTGGCTATAAAATAAGAGAATGACTATATAATAGTAATAGCCTAAAGGTCATGCTTGGCAGTAACAACATGAGATGCTTTTTATTTCTTGCAACAATAAGGTCTAGCAACAATTATTGAACAACATATTTCTAAGAATTCAAACTCCTCTTGTTTGGTATTATATGGACTTAATTTACAGGGATGAAGCTAAACGATGGATGTCCACAAAGCCAGACAGCACTGCCCTGTTCCTTTCCTTTATCTTTGCCTGATATAAAACCCTGCAGATTACAATAGCCATATCAGATTATCCATACACATGCGAAATAAAACACAACACCCAAAATGAACAGATATAACCATTGTTTAAAGGAAATGCATTTCTACCTCAAGCCTTCTAGCCACATTTCAGTGATCAAAGTTTCACCAGGGTACACATGTAAAAGGAATCGACCAGATATGTTTTTGACAAGGCTTGGATCTCCTCGGCAAAGACATTTGATAATGGCTCTAACAGCAAATCCAAGAGTGCATAGACCGTGCAATATTGGACGCGAGAATCTTAAACATGAGATAAAGCAGGATCAGATCAAAGTTTTTTTTTTTTTTTCTTTTTTCTTGGAACATAGATTAGATTAAAGTTTAAGATTGTATATGGATGCTGAATGGATATGGAAATAAACTTTGCAAAGTTGCCACGATGTCAAAAGGATATCTATAAACGGAAGTCATTTTAATACATCAGAATTGTGATTCTCAAAATTAGCAAAGTGCAGCCAAATTGTTCTGAATATCAAATGAATATGAATAATACTGAATATGGATTTCAATATTAAAAACCATCCTCCTTGATGAAGTAAACCATAGTCATAAAATCAAGCAACAAAATAGAATTACAGATACACATACCCTGCAACTTTAGCAATCATAGGATCTGAATGCAGAGGATTATAGTCACCAGATAGCCGATACAGCAATGCCTGCCAAGAAGTGAAAGGACACTCAAGAATAAGCCTCCTCTACGTAATATCTAAATGGAGTAGAAAGACTGAACTTCATACATTCTAAGCTATCCAAAGTGAGAAAATTATGAAGTCAAAATATTTTTAGTCTTTCCTTCTCCATGTTCAAGTTCCCAAATTTCACTTCTGTTCATTGTGCCAATAGCACAGGAACAAGTAATGATGTATACATAAAAGTCACAAATTTCAATTCTGCTGCAGTTGGGGGATTGGTAGTCCTTGCCTGAGATGGTTGAATAGGCTCTTCAAATACAGCGAAAGGTTGACTTTTTGGAATTTTCACAGCTATAACTTGGTTGGCTGGATAACTGGAATAAGAAAAGAGGTGATTCGAGTTTGAAAAGCCACCAGCTCCTCGAAGGTAGACAGTTGACCTGCAGAGTGCAAGAAGAATAGTGTCACCTGCTAGTGATGGATAATGAAATCACCAGACTAATGAATGATTAGATATTCTAATAATGAAATCACCTGCTCGTGCATAATAATTCACCAGACTCTTTCTCATAACTTTTTGTTTCTATCTCAACAATAGCAGCTTTACCTGAATTATGAGGAGAAATGGTTATAATACCTTAATATCAATAACCATACTCGTACAATTCATGAAAAGGGTGTGAACTTCTAGATAGATTAATGTAGAGATCAATGAGATTTTTCACTTTCCTTTAGGACACCAGACCCTCAAAACTGTAATCTACCTAAGGGAAAAAAAAATAATAATAATAAGGTAGAGATTACAGTAAAATTCAACTGAGAGAAAAACCCCTTATTCACACTAAGTCTACGTGTGAGTTCAGTACAACATCTTGAGCATCTGAATTATACTGCTATGCGTTTCCTGTCAAATTAAATGTGTGCATAAACATAGTGTCCTGCTAGCGAATACAAACCTTTGTCATGTAATCCAGCAAGGCTGAATTTATTATGTATCTGCATCAAGAATGAAACACGTTATGAAAACTAAAATAATATGATAGGAAGGACATTTCAGCACAAAATACTTACAGATGCACTAGAAGGAAATGGCTTGTACACTTCTATATATTGCTGTCCATGCAACAAAAGACGTGGATCATATCTGACACATTCAAAAATGAAGATATAACACTCAATTGACTTCAATAAATGCGTAACAAAATTAAATGTGGCATAGAAACCTCTTCTTCCTTTTTTTTTTCTTTTTCAATAACGTTAAAGAAACCTTTCACACTCTCAAATTCAATGCTACTTACTGCAACCCAAGCAAATCTATACTATTCATCAGTGACCCAAATGGAAATAGCGCAGCAAAAGTTGGCAAGACCTAAAAATCCAGAAACAAGATGGTAAATATAATTTCTCATATGTGATCCAGAAAATCTAAAACAGCTTAGCAACCTGCACCATTTTAAAACATAAGTCCTTCAAATTTTAATTACCATAAGAATTGGTGAATTTGATGAATTATTATGCTGAAGTGACACAAAATAGTAATCTAGATAGTTTAAGGTCTTAAGCAAAACAAACGAATTCAATAAGCAATAATACCTCGATAAACTGCTGCCCGTTTTCGTGATAAACATATTTAAGCTCGTCAGTATCAGTAGCATCCCGACCACAAGCTCCAATTCCCAAGGCATAAATTGCTGCATCTCTGTTCATACAAGGGGATGAAAATTATATAAATTGTTTATAGATATCTATAAATCTAGATAATGAATCTTAAAAAATTGCAGCAACTATACGAACGCCAGAGCTCTACCTTTCAGTATAAGTGAACGTTGACTGCCCCGTTGTACAACAAAACAAGAAGAAACGTTAAAAGATGCAGTGCCAATTAGAATAATTTCGTACGTCCTGCAAGCAGGAATAACACAGAACAGAGAAATACCTCCGGAAATGTGAGAGCTAGAAGGCGATCCGGGTCGAATTTTGAAGGCTCCGCCATCTGAGGAGTAATGAAAATTTAATTTTTTTGTTTTTGGATAAATGAACTCGGAACGACAATCGATGTGAATTGTATTTGTGACGATTAAATCCTTTGTCAACAAACCCGATACCAGTTATGTAATGACATAATAAACCCTTACTTCATGTACAATTTACAAATACAACTTTGCTTTGAGTTAACTAGTTCCTTCCTTCCCGGCCAATTACCTGTCCCATATGCTTCTGTTGATTTAATAAATAAAAATTATTTTTTCCCATTTTATCATTCCAGTACCGAAATTATTACCATGCTTTCCGTTCACCGAGCTATTTATCACTACTTTCTTCATATATAAAAATTAAAACAACTGACATAATATTATTTTTAATTTTTATCTAAAACAATAAAAAAATCTCTGAGGTCAAGATTTAAACACGATGAGACCTTCTGTTGTATGCCATATAAATTGTCGAACTTCATAGGCTGTCGGAGAATAAGAAATAAGAAATCAAGTATTAAGGAAAATGGCTCAAGAGGTAATGATTTCAAACGAGCACAAAGGCCCGGGAAAAAAATATTCAACCCGCTTGAGAAGCGCAATCTTTCATCCAATGGATACCAATGCCTTCGAAGTTTCAAGATCAATTTTCACAACTCACACGGCCAGCACAATAACATCTCTCAACTTTTTAGTACACCTCAACATTTAATTGCTAGTAACTCCAAAACATATCAATTCCGCGACAAATCACTCGATTTCCTGAACACAACATAAAAATTTTGGGAGGAAGAAACCCTCAGTGATAGAATTAAACAGTTAATGTCAATGTCCTACTGAAGCAAAATACATGCCAAGAAAACAGAGTATTACAACAGAAGTTCTCATCCAGGCAAAAGGTCCAACTGATTTCACATTCTATCTTCTCTCCTCCGTGGGGCACAGGTAATAATTTCATCCACTCTGAGAATCATCTCAGCAGCCTCAGTTGCCGACAGTAGTATGGCCTGCTTAACTTTGTAAGCTTCAGAAATCCCAAGCTCAGCCATATCTCCCACCTGTAAGATTTTATAGGTCATGAGTTAATATAAGGAAGAAACATATCGTATTGGATGCTAAAACTTTTGTCACCTATCCAGTCAAGCAACAAAATGGCCAACGTCTACAGCCAGTAAAATAAACATCTCAAATTTTTATGAAACTCCTTCAGACAAAATCCTATAGAATGCCAAATAAGTTTCCGAAGTAAGCAATGCCTCAAAATCCAAATGTGAAAGAAGGCCCAACGTCCTGTGAAATAATCCCACAAATAGCGAGTAGCAAGAGGATTGCACCTCATGTACCGTATTATTGTACAATAGATGTAGCATTTGAAAGAATAGGTGCACTAAGACTTAAATATACCTAACATTTCCTTTCATAATACTTACAGATCCAGTGATGACATCAATCCCTGCAGTAGATCCCTCCTTTTGATGCTCTGCTCGAAGCTGTGCTATCAATTCAGCACTGTCTAAACCAGCATTGTCTGCAATGGTAGTCGGGATAGCAACAAGTGCCCTTGAGAAGGCCTCAATTGCATGAGATTTCTTCCCAGGAGTTGCTCGGGCCAGCTCATCCACATCCTTTGCCATAACCATCTCAGGCCATCCACCTCCAAGCAAAACCCTGCTGTCATTGACCGTCTGAGACAGCACACACAAGGCATCATGGAGAGATCTTTCTGCCTCATCAAGCACGTGATGACTGCCAAAACAAAGACGCATAAATAAAAATGTAACAGCTGCTATCTAAGCACAAACTCTTCCAAAACAAAAAGGGAAAAATTAAGATATCTGAAAGATAAGTGCTGGTTTGCACATGCAAGCATCTCCAACAAATGCAACATTGAAAGGGGAAAATTTAGATAATGTACCTTGCACCTCTCAGTACTATTGTACATGCCTGACCCATTGCGACACCAGAAAAGTGGATCAACTTGTCCTCACCAATCATAATTTCCTCAATGAGCTTACAGTGTCCAAGTTTAACTGACTCAGGGTTGTCAAAGGTAGATGCAATTTCACCACCAGTTACTAATGCCAAGCGCTCAATCCCATCGAAATCAGCATGCTCAATTGCAAGTATCCCGACATTTGCAAAAAGTTCTTCTGGGAAATTGTAAATCAACTGCCTGTTTACAAAACAGTTTATTCCATGAGCTATTATCTTATCCACCTTTTCTCTCATTTTTTGCTTCTCAGCAGCTTCAATATCAGCAACCCTAGACATAGAATCAACACGAACACGTGCACCATAGATCTTCACTTTATCTGTATCCATTGCAGTATTAGCTACCAAAATTTTTGCATTCTCTATGCGCTTTGGTTGTCCAACACCAATTTTCTTGTCAAGAATAAATCTGAAGACACAGAGACTCAATTTAAAATTATTGAAAACCTACCAGGCATCAATAGTTTAGTCAAAATACACAAAAGAATAATGCAACCTAGGTATACAAGTCAAAGACCTTTACACTCAATTTTCTTTAACTTGATATGGTTATTTACAATAAACAGATGGATACACCAGGTACTGTAGAAGTTGCCAAATAACTGACCCCAAAATTCCAACTTATGAAGTTACACACGAGCAAACAAGAAGGCAAGTTAGTACTCAAGTGAGGACGGTCAAGCCCCATGCAGTGCAGGCTTCAAAAAATTAAGACTTTATAAGCCCATCTACTCACCCTTCATCCAGGAAAGAATCCTTCAGTGAACCTCCAGGCTTCTTGATAATCTGGATTGACTCTAAGTTTGTGCTACCCTGCCATTTGAATTAGCAAAACAAGAAAAAATCAACAAAAGGATGAGAGGGAGAGGAGAAAGGAGGCAAAACACTTGTGATTATTGAAGAAATTGTTAAGGAAATTTGAAACAATATCATGGAACAAATAACACATCTCAGAAGGGGGGAGAAATAAGATTTAAATAAGCCAGTATTTCAGAAAAAAATTCACCTTCAGCCTCAAAACAGCATCCACAGCAAGTTTTGCAAAATGTTCCTTATCCTGTGATAAAATTTTGGAACTCAAAGTAGTCATTGCAATCTTCATCAAGTCCAATTTAAATTTCTCTGCATTTTAAGTAATGGCCTTGCATCAGACAGGTAACAATGCCAATAAAAGGAACGATGAGCTACTTAGAAACATGCAACTGTATAGATGCACATCATCACAAAACAAATTAGTGCCAATTCGACTTCTGCACCAGAGACATCAATAAAGAATATTACTAAATAAACAATGTAGCAGAACAAAAAACATGTTCCATGAGGGACATCTCAATAAGATTTGGCATTACATATGACAGAAACAGTAACTACCTTCATTCTCTTTGTTATCCACAACCTTTTGCAACAAAGCATTACGAGCACATTCTGCCGCCATTCGGTAGCCTGAAAATTAGATATATACCATTACAGCAGCTCATATGATGAATCCAAAGGTTTAAATTTACCAAGAGTTTCAATTGTTCAAGATTTAGCACCCTAAACAAGAGAAAGCATACAAATATTCGAAGTATAAAGTGACAGAGAGAGTTAAAGCATATCCCACAGCAACTTTAAATCTTCATAGCAACACTTACTATAGACACACACACACACACACACACATATACAAGTGAGACTTTTTGCTGATAGAACTTGCCCAAAACTACAAAGAGCAATTAGGCGGCCGACTTTTTCTTCTTTTTTTTCTTTTTGGGTGGAGTGGTTAAAACGTATAATTTAATTAGGAAGGGAAGCCATCATCAAGATAATAAAATATGTCATGCCAACAAGATATTTCCTGCAGCAATGCTTTAGGCATGAAGCAAAATGTATAACTCAATACTCAAACACTAATTTCATAAGATGAAGATAAAACAAAACAATATCTACCCTTACATAAGATTAATGCAAGCAAAGCAATAAAATCCACAAAATGAGACAGGACAAAAATGTTCCAAACTTTTGTGACAACAAAAAATTGAAGTTCAAAGAATGCTCCTGATAATGGCTTTAAGAAGAGGGATTGCAAAGGAAAGGAAAAAGAAAAATATGAAGCAACAGAAGCCAGAAAATAGAGAAAACCTGCAATAATCGTCATAGGATGAATCTTTGCTGCCACTAGCTTTTCTGCCTCCCTTAAAAGTTCCCCAGCCAACACAACAACAGACGTTGTCCCATCACCAACTTCATCATCTTGCACTTTTGAAATATCTAACCAATGAATTAAGGATTTCTGTCAAGCTAATATTGCCATCAAACCTTACATGTGAGCTATATACCTATTACCTAGTTATATTGATGACATCCAACAACTCTCAGGCACAGTTAGCAGCATCACATTTAGTTTATTACACAGAGAACTTCTCTCTTTCTATGAGGAGGGATGCAAAGTTTTCCTCCTCTTTAGAGGAAGCATTTATTAGCAACTAGATCATGCATCAGCAAATATGTTTTTATACAAATCATACAACTGATTTCAAGAGACAACTGCCCAAATATCCACCTTATACAACAATTACTGACAAAGATTCTCAATACAAGTACATTTAGCTTCAAAAGCTGTGAGAAGCTAAATAAATGAACATTAATGCATGCAAGAGAAAGCAGCAACAAAAGAATACCAACTAGAACTTTGGCAGCTGCGTTATCAATGTGAAGGGACTTCAAAATGGTGGCCCCATCATTTGTCACAGTAACTTCACGTCCTCTGCCAGTCGATTGCAAAATTTTATCCTGTACCGTGCAATACAACAATTAGTATGCAGTAAAGTAAACTATAATGCGCTCCAAATATAGCAACAAGCTAATGAATGAAGAACACTTACCATTCCCTTTGGTCCTAGTGTTGTCTTTACCAAGTCAGCAATTGCCATTGCACCAACAAATGATGCCTAAAAGAATGGTTCAAATTAAGATGGGAAAGCAAAATTTCAAACAAACACTATAATTCACATCCAAAAGACATATAACTATAGCCAGGGTGAAATAAAAACATTTACCGAGACAGTAACGATAACAGAAACTATAGATGATTCTTTCCCACAGTTTTGGTAGTAATATGCATTATTTATTGTTAAGACACTTGCAGCACATATGAATGTAACAAAACAAAACCCACTCACCATTCTGGCACGTTCTCCTTTTTCTTCACTAGCTTCATCTTTAAAAATTCTATCAATCTATTAAAAAAAAAAAAGAAGAAGAAAACAACTATTTAACCTACAACATTCAACCAAAAGAGTCACCAAGAAGAAAAAAAACAAAAAAAAAGTTCCAAAAAAGTAAGGAAAGTGAGAATAGAGCAATGAAAAAGTAATCAGCAATTTAACATACCGCCATTAGAGGGGGTAAATGAAGACCTGCCGACTATAGATGCTCAAAACTAATCTGAAAATCAGCAAAACAAAAATGAACACAATTAAAACAAAATTAGATGGAATATATAAAGTGAAAAGAACCCGAAGCTTCAAAATTAACTGTCTATAATATTTCTGCAGCCGCTAAAATGCAAACGAATCAGTTAGTTAGAGTAATGAGCAAACGCAAATGATAAACACATGATCGCCAAAGGCCCTCGGAAAACAGTGTTGTTTTTTAATATTTTCCATTTCCTATTCTCATTTAACCGAGAAACAAGTAAAGGAAAAAACAAGCTACTTAAGCAAAAATGTATTACAGATGGAAGAGTAACATCACACAGTGAATAGAAAATGAAAACTAAACCCTAGAAAAGCAATAGGCAGTGAGTATTTCACCTGAAGTAATGACGGAGACGATCGATGGAGTTTTTCCAGACTTCGATCCCGCCGAAAATGAGTTAGGGCGTCTAGTTAAGTTCTTGCTCCTATATTAGCAGTCGAGTAATGTAGTGTAGCTCACCGTATCGTCCGATTTAGCATATGAGTGGGCCAGGCTGGGCGTAATAACTCCTGATTGGGACGACGGAGCAGCAGATAATTCTGCCTTGTAGCTCAAATTTTCGCGTCTATTAAGGGACTTTGAACGAACCTTCGCGAATTCCTTACAGCTTCCCTTTCGAAACCCAAGTCCAAGAACAAGAAACAGCCTTAGGCCCATGATATAATATCGAAATTAAACCCATCGAATAAATGATTGGGCTTTGAGTCGGGCGGGGAAAAAACAGGTTACTGCGTTTATTTTTAGATAGTTTCACCTTGTAGTATTAAATTAATACATTAAACTAATACCAAAATATATATTTTCACCCTTGTAGTATTAAATGTAAGTAATTAAACTAATACTCAAAAATATAATATATATAATATAGTATATAGTATTGAAACAATCGTATTTTAAGCATTTTAAAAAATATATGAGATTTTGTAAATAGCGAAAATGCAGACTTAATGCGTCCATATATATATATATATATATATATTAAACAACGTATTTTATCATTTAAAAAAATATATATTTTATAGCGAAAATCAGCCTTAATCTCCATACAAATAAGAAAACAACTATGATACGGGAAGTACACTTACGGGAAGACCAAAAACCTAATTCGCAATAACCAAAAACCTAATTCGCAATAATGTTAAATTAGTGAAAGTTATATATTCATACAAATTTATAAGTCAATTAAAATTGGAGTTGGCATTGTTAATAGGAATTTTTTTTTTTTTTCAGTTTCTATTTTTAGTTAATGTGCAAAAAAGAAATGGGAACCAAGTCAATTTGTTTTCATTTTCAAGAGGGGTAGAAAATAATAGTGTAAATGTTGATGGTTACACTATAACATAGGAATTTGAATATTAACTTACCTACAATGGAAAAAACGATGACACAATTGTCATGTATTAATATAATATATATTTATTAAATGACTGATTTTTCGTTTTTTATTAATAAAGAGGGAAATTGCTATTGATTGATTTTTAAATCCTCATGAACTGTATGATGAATAGCATATTGGTATTTTTCCCCAGCCACTTTCTTTTTCTTAATTAATCAAATAAATGCATTACATATATTTTTAGTTGAGATAAACTAAATAATAGTTATAACGATAATAACAATAATAATAATAAATAAGAATACTAAACTTCATATCTGATTTTCATCAACTGCCACAGCCAGAAAAAACTAAAAAGAAAAACATTAAAATTTCCAAGGTAAAAAAAAAAAAAAAAAGATAATGAGCAGCTCAATAATGCATAACTTGATACAAACTTTAATTACTGGAGCCAAGCTTGAGAATTAGCTGACCTTAATGCCTTAACGATGACAATAATAACAAAAATAATAATAAATAATGTATAGAAACTTGACAAATATATAGAAGGGAATACAATCATCAGTAGAAAAGAATGTGACCTCGAGCTGAGGTCATTAATAGTTCTAGTCCTCACTTCATATTGAGCCTCAAATAAAGCAGCCAACAACAAGAAGACAGTATGCAAAACTCTACTCTTCAATCTTTCATCCTGAGGAGCTAGACAGGCTTCCCTGCCTTCAAATATTGCTTCCCTTGCCTAGAGAGGTCTTGTATGTCGACCGCTTGCCCTGCCACAAAGAAGTGCATTCTTCGGAATAGGGAATTCATCTCTAAGTGAAGTTGATGTCGTGTAAACCCTCAGATACAACTGTTGGCCCAGGTATTGACGTGCCCAGAACTCTGTTCTTAAGTTCCACATTCCTACATTGTCAAGTGGCACATAAATAGCAGTCCATGACTTGGGATATACCTGCAAACATCGAATGGTATGTCTGAGATATCTGAAATTTAAATTAAAAAATGTCTCATTTCTGATTAGGGAAAGGAGAGATTTTGGTATCTCACCTGAGTGGTGCATCGCGCAATTGCATCACGAAGATTGTATTGGTTCCTGCTAGCTGTTGTCCATTGTCCTCCATCCATACTGCATTTCAAAATCATTGATTGTCAACAAAAGTAACGATTAAGGTAAACAAATCCGTGCAAATGAATCGATTGTTTGCTTACCCAACAACAAAGAAACTATAACCATCAAGGTGCCAGCTCTGAACAATGTCTTCATCGTTCTGGAATACAATTTCCACGAATGCTCTATAATCGACAGTCAAAACTGATGTATCAAGGTAAATTCCTCCACCATAAGGTCTGTCTGAAATGCTATTCTCCTTGAAAACTCCCTGAATTTTGAAAAAGTCTGCAAGCTTTAGCGGGGTGTCTGGTTGGATATAGGACACACTGTTCACTGCATATCTCTGCTTGCCATTCACTTGACCAGCAGAACTTGCAAATATGATAGTTCTGCTTGTGTTGATCATACCATAGTGGTATGAGCCTTGTGGATTTGGCCTTGGTCCACTTGCAGTGAGATTGGTCCTGAAATTGTCATATATATAGGATTTGAATCATTACACACATGATTAGCTTTAATAATAGTCATGCTTTTAATTACAGTTTAGAGGACCCATTACTAAAGAAAAACATGTGCAATGTAATGAGAAAGAGACACCTAAACTTTGTTAAAATGGACCCCCAGTGTTAAATGACTAAACTTTTGTTGTTTATGTCAATGGAGGAACAGGATCTGCAAAGAGGCTCATAAATACCTGATGGAGCGGGCCTGGTTGAGAGACCAATCAACCTGAATGGTGGGTCCACCAGGGGGTGAGCCAGAGACTGGGCCAGCAGAGTTACTGTAATGAAGAACACCTGTAGTGGTGAGGATCTGAGAGGTGAATCTGGAGGAAACCACAATGTAGTAGTCCTGTCCAGGCTGGTCAGCAGTTATTAGAACAGAGTAAGATTGACCAACATGAACATCAAGTGAAGAATAGGTAGTCTGGAGAGTATGTGTGCCCTCCACTTCTACCAGTTTCATTTTATGGTTCTGAATGCGAAAGTTAAGTGAATGTTCCAATCCGACATTTGATATTCTAAGCCTGTAAGTTTTTCCTGCAACAAATGCACTAGCATTATTTAAGTATATAAACGTAATTCTAGTTGAACAATGAAAGGGGAAAAGATATCAATAAGATTCAAATTTCGCTGATAATAGATTAACAATGAACCATAAAACTAAAGAATAAAAGTATTTCTCTTTAGAAGATTGGTTGGGTGAGAATTAGATTGGTAAATGTTACCTTGTTCAACAGTAAGTGCATAACCACTCCCGCGTCCATTGATAAGAATCCCATCAGGGAATGGCAGCTTCTTACCATTGTCCAAATGAGCCTTCAGCTCCTGCACAGTCACGAGTCAATACATTGTTACTACTGATATAATATAACAATACAAACAGACAATCATTTGTTTTTTTTCCTTTTCTTTTGATTCATCAATATGCAATCATATTTAGGTTACACAAGTTGTCATTTGCAAGGATAGATTAGCACATATAGTTGCCGACCAGGCTCTAACTCGTGACTAAAATTAGTCATATTGGTATTTACTAAAACACCATGATTGACTAGTTAATTTTACATAGCCAATATACTTTAAACTTTAATCTTTAAAAAAAATTGCATAATTCAATGTCTACAATTTTTCTATTTTAATTAAAAGTATTTTACAGGAACCTAACTTATTTAAGGATTTTCAGCAAACACGTGCTAGGCCATAGTGAAAGCAACACGTGGGAAGCACATGCATAACTACGACCTTCTGCTCAATGGGGACCCACAAGTGTTCATCCTACAAAAGGGGCTAAATTAATCGGTGGACAACTGGTAGGATTGTATTCACATTGGATTTTAAGATTAATGAGGCAGAGGAAAGGAAAGACAGCAATACTGCAGAGACAAAATAGACTGGGCCAAAGCCAATGACAACTATTTCGGTATGGTCTGAAACAAACCACGTCACCCACTAAAAGACATTCGAGAAAAAGGCAGCCTTCAACGACACGAATCTAACAAATTTTCGTAATTTTATTTACTCTAATTAAAGTTTAAATTATTACAAGGTCAATTGCTTTTTTTTTTTTTTAGTAAAATTAATTTCTTTCGAACTCTACAGCATAAATTTTGTTTATTCTTTGAGCAAATATGCTTTAAAGATTAATATTTTTACTCGTGGATATTTAAAGGCGGCCCAACTGTCAGATCCAAAAGTGCTAGAGGATGCTGGAAACAATTGTCAAATTAGTTGCCGACATAAACACAAAATCATAAATTTTACACCGCAGCAGCCGGGCGTGTTTTTAAAACATTTGGGTCCCAGCAGATTGAAAATAAATGAAGCTAATTAAGCAAAAGAAGAGAAAATGTTACCGTGTGATTAGCTTTGTACCAATCTCCAATAAGAACGGTGTAATCGCCATCTGGATCAGCAAAGGGAACGGGAATTCTTGGGCGACTGAGGATTCTAATTCCTCCAAAACCACCGGCAGCCTTGTGGAATGCAAGAGATGGGAAATAATAGAAACTTCCTATTTGATCTTTCACTTGAAGAATGTATGTGAAGTTCTTCCCTGGAGGAATTGGGCATGTGGTTCCGAAAACACCATCCTCATATGAATTTCTCCTCTGTTGAATTCCATTCCTGTAGAAGGATTAGTTAGTTTTTGCTTCCATTATTTTTCACGGGTTAATCTGAAAAGCCTGTCTTAATCCTGGAATTCTCCAATGCGGATGACAGCTGAACTGAAATGGACAGGAGAGTTTGAAGAAAACATTATATTCAAAGCTTTCAATTAGTTATATCATTTATAATAATGAAAAGTTGCTTTTATACCTAAACAAGCTGGCCTAATCCATTGATAACGACGTTCGTGATAGGAAAAATTTTATCGACTACAGTGACAAATTTTCTTGACTTCAGACCATAATACAGTATTTCATAAATAATTGTCATTAGCGAAAATTGCAAAGCTAATAGCGGGAAAAGAAATGAAATTGAAATTGATGTGATATGCTATAATCCAGATCTAGATTAGGACCACTAATAAAAATCCCGTCACTGATTCACATCACCTTAAAAAGCTTTTTATTCTTCCATTTTTTTTTCCAAGAAAAAGAAAGTACTATAGCATATATTTTTAAAGGAAAAAGAAAAGGTAATGCGAGGCGAATCATAGCAATCAAAGATTCTTAATTATTTACAGTAAATCCAGGAAAGCTGTAATAGAAACCTACTATTTAAAGTTTAAATCAAATGAATATTGTAGAATTACTTTCCATAGGCCCATATAGCAAATGCAAAAACAGAAACAGAGGAATAAGCAAGGTTAGATTTGTCTTTAGAAGGAAGAGCGCGCAAATCGTTGTGGATATTCTTTCCACATAGGGAAAGTTCACGGGAGTAACCAAGGGAGAAAGAGATATTACCAGGAGAGAAGAAAAGGCTCATCTAAGCTGTTAAACACATTGATAATAAGATTGTCGTTTGTAACAGAGTGAATATCAGGTCCTGGAAATTGTCCATTGATAAGAATACCCTGTAAATTAACAAAACCAAAACCCACAGCATATGATCAGTTAACTTCGTTAAGATTTTGAAAAAAAAAAAATCCAAAATCCAGATCAGGAGAAATTAGTTCAATCAAAATAAAGAAAATGGGATTTGGACAAACCCTTTGACGAACTCCAAGTGGGTATATATCCCCATAAGTAACATTCCAGTTGAAGAACCTGTACGGATCTTCAGCCCCAACAATGGCAAAAAGAGCGAAAAACAAGGTGCAAACAGCACCTTTTCCCGCTAATCTTAGCGGCATTTTCTTTTTTATTTATGGAAGCAAATCCGATCAGAAAGGCAGAGAGAAGGGGACAGAGAGAAATTTTGAAAGCGGGAAGCGTAAGGCTTAGGTTCTTGGAGTGGGAGAAGCAAGCAAATGATGAGGGATGGCGCAATATTTAAGTGCGGTACAGAGTATGTATTACTGTGAGAATGGGTGTGCAATGTATTTACTGGTTAGCCGTAAAGAAAGAAAAAAGAGGGAAAAAATAGAGGGAAATTTGTTAAATAAAAAAAGAAAGAAAATTAGGAAAATGGAGTGTCGGTGGTGGGGTCCTCATGGGGGAAAAAAAAAAAAAAGGTAGCTAGCTTACAATGTGAACTACTGTGCGTATGTGTGTGTGATTGTCTCCCACATGGGCTTGTGTGGGGAGGGGAGTTGGTGGTTTTGTTTTGATGCAACGCACAAGGTTGAAGGTTTGCATGTGACGTTTTATAACGCAGGATTGAGAGGTTGAGGACCCTCGCTTATATTACTAGGGCTCGCACTTGTCCTTTCACTTTTACTTTGCGTCTTCTGGTTGGATAATAATGCTTTGCGGTGTCTTTCGTTGCTTTGTGTGTTATTACGCTTTTGCAAGACGATTTTAAAACTCGCACGCGCCAATCTGTTTCAAATACTCCTTTAAGTTTCAAGTAATCCAACTAAGGACTATCTTCAATTTAAGCGCATTTTACCTCTCAAGAACAATTTACTTCGCTCATGGATAAATTTAATTTACAGATTTAATAAAACTGATTCAACAAAATCACATTACATATGGTTGATTGGTCGGCATATTATACGAGAGGTTGTCTTTGGAAACCCACGATTTTAGTAGCATTCGGTGAGGTTTAGAAGACTGGATTTTCCCTGATATTTGTGAAATTGTTTAATCCAAGTATTGTGCTCAGAGGCTTGAGATTCTTCCTTTTATTAAAAAAAAAAAAAAAAAAAAAAAGTTGGTTGATTCGTCGGCATATTGATACGAGAGGTTGTCTTTGGAAAACCCACGATTTTAGTTGCATTCGGGTGAGGTTTAGAAGACTGCGATTTTCCCTGATAATTTGTGAAATTGTTAATCCAAAGTATTGTGCTCACATTTGCTTGAGATTCTTCCTTTATTAAAATATATATAAAAAAGAAAAAAAAAGAGATCATAGTCATGGATTAACGCTTTTGTTCGATTTGGTAGTGTGTGATAGTGTGTATGCAGGAATTGAAGATGTTATGTTTGATTGTCTATTTGCCCTGAATTCATGGTAAAGGCGTAAAAAAGTATAGGACAAGAGTTCAATCATTGGTGGAGCGTGGAGAGGGTGCGATGTTGGGGAATAAGGCTTTTAACGGAGTTATTCTAGTGTGAAGTGAAGATTGGTGGAGTGTGTGTTTTATTGATGATATTGGTGAAGTAGAGGTTATTGTGAACAGTGAAACTTGAGCTTAGGCGTTGACCAATTAGTGTTGGTCTGTCAAAAAGGGGGTGGCTCAGCGGTAGGCATAAGAAATGGCGTGATGGTCCAGGAAGTGCTAATTGTTATATTTTCCCATCGAACTTTCTGGTGGGTGTGGCCATAGAGATGGTAGTAGGTTATGAATTGGGGGGAGATATTATATATTCGCAGGTAAATGTGACGAGAGAAGCCGAAGGATTTATGGGCCCACCAGGAGAGAGTATCGAAGAGGAGTTGCGGTAATGTGGTACGTTGTAGTGTTGTTAGCGTGGGTTGGGAGAAGGACGGCTGTGTCACGAAGGGTTGGGGTATATAAATAATTGGACCAATCGAGTCGGGATGATAAGGAATTTATAATTGTAAAAAGAGGCCCGGACTGCCTTTTGTTGTGTATGTGTAAGGGTGTCTGATATTTGGTAGTATGTATTATTAAAAAGGTAGCCCAGTAAGATGCGACTTGTTAAGTTATCTGTGTGTTGATATTTGATGAGTAGCTGGACTGAAGTCAGGAATTGTTTTCATCCGTAAAAAAAAAAAAAAAAAAAAAAGAGCATATCATATTAACGCTTTTGCATTAAATTGTATTGCAAGTTAAATTTGATTGTCTATTCCCTAATTCATTAAAGGCTAGAAAAAAGGACAGATTCAATCATGACTAATCATAAACTTTTAACGATATTCTAGTGAAATTTTATTAATTAATAAAAATTTAACATAAACTGAGCTTAGCTTACCAATTATTTGTCTATCAAAAGGGTGCTCAGCTACATAAGGAAATGCGTGATGGTCCAAATTGCTAATTTAACCCATCGACTTTCTTTTGCCAAAATTATAATGAGAATTGGGAGAAAATGGATGCAGTAAATTGTACAAAAGCAAATTTATGGCACCAAAATATCGAAGAAGTTGCTAAACCGTAGTGGTTACTGGTTGGAGAAAGCGCTCACGAAGTATATAAATATACATCGAGTCGATGATAAAATTTATTAATGTAAAAAAGGCCCGACTCCTTTTGTAGAATCATATTTGTAGTATGTAGAAAAAAGTACCCAGTTAAATGCACTTTTAAGGGCTACGGTGTGATATTTGCATGAGTAGCTGACTGAAGTCAGATTGTTTTCATCGTATTTTTTGTTAATTGCTATAATTAGATGTGGATTAGGTAAGTGGACCTAAGAAACTAGGTTGTCTTCTCTGGCAAATGTAAGAGATAGCATGAGAGTAATCCCAATTAATTAATTGTAAAATTAAGGGGAAACAGCTCTAATTTATACAGAGAAGTCACATTATGACTTAATTCTGTGTTCTGAAACCCAACACGCCCATATGCTAATAACAAAAAGTCCACGCGTTTTTGGTTTAGTTTAGTGTGACAATATTGGCCTATATGTTAACCTAATCAAGCAAATATATATAACTTTTTCCAATTAGAAAATGGAACAAAAGAATTGGCGCTCACTTAGCTATTCATCCACTAATACCAAGGATCAAATTTTGAACCTTGCCCCTTCATAATTAATATAAACCGTATGATGAGCCATGCCTTTGCGAGACAAGCTTTGAGACAAAGGTAATGCGATCCACTGGTCAACACAAGTGGACCATCGGCTTCCAAATTTCGGCTGGGATGAACTGAAAGCAACTCATATAAATATGTCACTTTCCTACCTTCTCTTAAGTCTCACCACCTTATCTTTATCCTTTAACCATACGCCAAACGACATTCGTGGCTCGGTCTTTGAAGATCTCGCATAAACCACACTGGTCAGGCTAGAACCAACCACCAAATGCTTTGGAGGTTGACTAGACTATATACACAAACAAGCACATGCCAAGAAAATAAAAACCACTAACAATAGATACAAACTAACATCCCATCCAGAAAGGCAAAACATGAAATTTTACCAGCTGGAAATTTCAAATTCACTGAAGCAATGTTCATTGAATTTGAAGGAAAAGCTAAAGGTGCAGCCAAGGGTTCCAAACAAATGCATTAGCATCTTTTGGCACATGCCATCGTTACATGATTAATTGGGTCCCCAATTTTAAATCACCAATAAGCAACCAACTCAAATAGTAGCACAGATAAAATATTGCTTTCTTTACACGCTTTAGGATTGTATTGGGTCCCTAATAGATTGCAACCTATAAGCCAACAAATCTAACGATGCTTATGTTCAGGTTTCCTTAGGAAACTCCATGGAATAATAGGACCATCTATTATGTAATCACAGTTAGTAAGCAAGAGCAAGTCACACTAAATCCATGGAATATTTATATTTATTCCATCTACAATTCTACATCCATTCAAGTTACTGCCACTTCTATCCAACCAGCCCATTACTATTCACATGTGCAATCAAACTGTAAACGGATCCGTCAAAAGCATGGAGAGTCACTCAATGTGTGTCATCCGAAATAAAGATTAGAGTCAACTGTTATGAGCAATCAATATGAAATTTATGATCAATAAAATTTATAGATGAATGTCCCCACCATAATCTAAAAAAAAAAAAAAAAGAAATCCAAGGTGCACCGAATAATTCAAATTGAACATGTGATTTTGGTTATTAATTGCAGAAATACCACAACAGAACTCCTCATAAACCCCATCTATCTTTCACATTCAACATCCTTCTTAGCCAGGGAGCAATGCCTGGTGGGATTGATATTCCCTATCAAGTAGAATTAATTATTCCATTTTAATTATATATATCCATCAGTAACACAAAAATTAGTACAATAAAGAAGGAGCAAGTCTGGTTGCAAGTTGGAACTGGGGATGTCATTATGCTCTAACCAAACCGATAATTTACAAAGTTTTTAGCCAAGTCTATAACACTATGTATAATCAGTTCTGAGACATCCACAAATGCAATTAGCATTGTCAAGCCATTATTACATGAAAATCCTTATCCGACATACTTCAGGGTAGATTGAAAAGTCAAATGTCCAAGAGTATCACAATGCAAACGCAATCACTATTATCTGAAGCCAAAATACCAATTATTCATCTGCTCACATTCTCTTCAAAACAAAACCCTGAAACATAAGAGATCTCCTTTGCCTGACAATTATTTGAACATAACAAAAGAATAAGAAGAAGAAAAATAGAGCTAATGGAAGATGCGACTCGTCTCAGCTACTTCTCCTACATTTCCCAGTCTCTGTAATGGTGCTGCTCGTGCTGTGCAAGTCACCGGTCAACATGAAATCGCATGCTATTGTCTAAAATACAATAAGGTGCTAAGAGTTCACGTCAGCAAGACCTAAAGCCAATATAACCATCAAATCATCCTTTCCTCAATTCAAAAGATACTGCTGAGATAGGAAGGAGCCTGTACAATGGAAAATTAGAAGATTTACCAGAGTCAAAAGATGCATCTCAATATTGACTATCTCCTTAATTCCGTTTGATGTCATAATCAATATGCTAGAGTTATTCTGCTAAACATTGCATTCCTCAAGACAAACCTCTGATATCCCAAACCTAAACCTTATAAACAATCATTAGCACATAGCAAAAATTGAAAATCCTAAATCATGCCTCACAAACAGACAACAAAACCCTAAACCCTAATCCACCAGTGATAACAAGACAACTCACTACTGTAACTGTAAGTGATAGACGATTATGTCAAAATTGAGTATTAAAGTTGATATCATTTTATCCATCCTCGGGCAGCTGATTTGGTTGTTTCTTGCTTTTGAACTGCTAGTTCTCCAGTTATCATTTTACACCAATGCAGTTTAATAGGATTGACTTTTATAGCGATGATTTTTTACTTAGATACACAAGCAATCATTGATAGTGATTTCACCCATATCAATAACCAAAACCGTAGACCTAATATCAGATAACAAACACTGACAAGCTCTAACTTACACACCGATTATAACAGTCAAACAATCTATGAATTACTGAAGCAATTTATTCATTTAATACAGTTCATTATCATTCAATCCATCTAGTATCAAAGTAACCTAAAATAAGCAGAAAGTCAGTATTTTGAGCAGATATTGAACATTATATAAATGTGAATTATTCAAAATAAACTAATTCGCCTCATCAAAGAGGAAACAAGAAAACTCACATGGACAATTGATAACAATTTTCATTTTACTTATCGTCACCGAAAAGAAGGCGAAGGCGAGCAGCGAAGAGGCCAGTGGGTTCCAGAGAGGCTTCGTGGAGTAGGCCACGCTTGATGTTGTTCAATCTATCAGTCAGGGTTTGCTGTTCTTGCTTAAGAGCTGAGGTATCTTCCTCAAGGCCATGGATACGGTACTTTTGACCTAAGGATCTGACACTCAAAAGCAGTATCCCTGTCATCGCGAATAACTGAATAAAACTATCTTTGCGCTTCATTGCGTTCGCTATAAGCCCTAAAGGCTTTCTAGAGCTTCGGGTGGCCGTGGCTGAGCCCGGCGGCGCTGAAGATGCCATGTTGCCCAACTGAGATTGCTAAATGAAGAGACCAAACTGAGAAGGGTGGGAGTTGCAGTTTGGCTTTTGCGTTCCGCCTTGGGAATTTTATTAGTGTCTATTGTCGTTTGAAATTAACTTAACTTCTAATCTGCTTGTAAATTAGACCTTGTACTAAAAGCTGGTATAAATAAAAAAAATTAAATATTGAAAATGAAATTCAAAACATTAAAAAAATAATATTAAAAGTTAATTAAAGAATCTACAGCATTCCATTTCATTTTTCGTATGTAGATTTCATTGCCTGTAAATGCAAAAGTTTTCATGCATATAAATGTAAAAATTAGAATAATTGAAAGATATAACTTTTAAAAAATTTTATATCACCATTAAAGGAAATAATATTTCTTCTATTTCTTTAAATAAGTTATTGAATCACCTTAATTTCCAAAAAAAAAAAATCCAAAAGTTAGAAAATAAAATAATTAATATTATTTAAAATATGATATAAAATAAAAATAAAAAATACCAAATTCAACCGAAGGGAATATTACTCGGTTAATTTTGACATATCGTATTCGCCTTTGAAGATGCATGTTTCGAAAGCGCAAATTCTTGAGTTCAGATGCATAACTCGTATCACATTGAAGCAAGCTTATAGAAAATCAGAAGGTACAAATTTCAAAATATTGCTAAATAAATTGGAATACAAAAACATTGCGGGAAAAAAAAAATCTTGCTTCCTGCCTACATAATGTTCCCTTTACCACTCAATTCTTCCCATCTCATTCTCAATACACCTACAAGAACATACATTTTTCTAAGTAATAAACAACAAATTTCTAATAAATTCCAATCATCACCATGGAGGATACGTTAAGCCTGCATAACCAAGCAAAAATGACTGCAAAATTTCTCAATGTTGGAATGACAGTGGGAAGCAGCTTTGCTATCATATACGTACTCTGCTTTTGTACTCTTTTAACTCATACAGCAGATTGTATCAGAAATCCAGAGTTCCACATTGCTTGCTCTCAATATTCTTTGTTCCATGGTTGTCTTTCACATCCTTCCTGCCATCATTATCAATGCCTTGACTTCGACCAATGCCTAGCTTGGGCAAACCCCGGTTCAGTCCCTCAAGCAAAACACAGGCTTTACACCATTTCTGTGCATTAAGCAATGTTAAAAGGATAACATGTAAAACCATGCAAAATGAAAATATCATAAGTTGTATAATACCGTAAGAACAGATTCTAGATAGTAAAAAAGGAATAATGTTGTCCAAGACGAAGTGCATCATAGCTATATCAGCAAAACATTGGCGATTGGCCACAGAGGGAAATAAATGCTTTTTTCCACCAAGCAATCAGGAGTTCAAAGTAATGTAAGTTTCATGTGTACATCACACAAAAGCAACACTTACCTGGCTCGAAATGTAACCACAACGTTCACATGTGCCCTGCTCTGGCATTTTTGTGGAAGTGGAGATTCTGAAATTCTCCCCTGATTTGATGATGTCAAGTATGGCCCTGGGTCTGCATTGGTAAACCATCAATAATATGTTAACATATTGTGAGGGTGCAACACGAGAATTTTCCACCACAGCTTTCAAAACCTAATGTTTATATCCCTATGCAGTAAATGTGAGGGGCTGGATCATAGGAATCACTAGACATGTTCATATTTAAGAACCAACAAAACCATTAGCACCCACCCAAAGAGAGGAAAATATGGGAAGTTCAAACAAACTAGGAGAGCAACCTACAAGCATTAGAATTACATCAGACAATCAACTGAGTGGCAACAACCTGATTCTCTCCAAATCTTTAATGAACTCACGAGCAAAACCACGATATGCATTGGGAGAATATATACCTGCAACAACACACTCTGTAAATATAGAGGCAGAAACAGAATACAAGAGCAACATAACCAAACAAAACCACAAGAACTTGCTACCACATTCAAAGCACTAGTGGAAATATCCCACACAGCAAACCCCAACAGTTACCTTTTTTTATGGGAAAAAAAAAGAAGGAAAATACTGGTGAGAGAGAGAGAGAGAGAGAGAGAGAGAGAGAGAGAGAGAAGCAAAGAGCACCCGAGGATACTTATACAGAATGAGATTGACACAAGCATTAAGGTGGAGAAAAGGAAATGGAAAAGTGAACAATTACATTCAGTTGAGAAGTAGTCCAGCCTCTTGAAATAGGCATACGTGCAAATCTGGTTAAGGTTCTGCACCAGTTCCACTATACCAAAATAATAAAACAACAGAGAATGCAATAAATCACTTTCAATGTTTCAGCTGTAATAAGGATATATAACAATCTCCTTCTCATAGGTGTACTTGAAAGGCTTGCATCTTGGAATTGGTCCATCTTCACCAGTTGTTATTGAAGTGCATCTGCTCAATCTAAAAAGTGAATAGCATCTAATTACTACCAAAGAAAACAGGAAAAATCAAATAATGCTGAAAAAAACACACTTAATTAATACTATATTACCTAGCAATATCACCTCGCAGTATATTCAAAAGAACCGTTTCAGCAATATCATCTGCATTATGTCCAGTAGCAAGCTTGTCTACTTTCAACACTGCAGCACCTCGATCAAGGGCCTTTTAAGATGAAGAGTACTATGAATTTCATTAAATTCATTGATATTATTTCAAAAAATTAAACCCCTTTTTTTCGGAGGGAGATGGTTTGTTCTATGTTAAGAAATGGATGGGAGGAATGATGAGACAACAAAGGTGAAGGATACCACGAAAGGATGAGAGAAAGAGTTAAATGATAATAGCCAAGAGTGACCCGTATATACCTGACGACGGAAAACACCACAAAAAGTGCAATTATTCTTTAAACCGATCATCTTTACAATCTCATCCATTGTCCATCCATACAAATCCTTGTAGGAAACAATCTTCAAAGGTAACCCATACTGAGAAGAACATATAGAGACAGAAGCCATTAAAAAATTAAAACTGCCACGAAATAAAGAAGTTAGAATTGGTCTAAAAATAGCTCTCACTGTCATAAATGGACAAGGGTATGCATACGGCATACCTGAATTTCATTTCTTTTGACCGTTTCAAGTGAATCATCCCTATAACCGGTAATCCCTTCATCAACTGACAATAAGAAGAGATCGAGGCCATAATTATGCCGACGATTTAACTCTGATAATACATAAGCGAGGACGGTTGAATCTGCAAAATGGCCAGAGAGTATGCAAATCATGAGGAACAACAATCAAATAAATAAGATATACGACACTACTGTAAATAGGGAGGCAAGAGGGGGGAAGAAACAGATGACAGAGGCAACAATAAACCAAACCCGAAAACCACAAGAACTTGGCGTAGCCACATCAAAGCACTATGGAAATATCCCACACAGCAAACCCCAACTGTTAGGCTTTTTTATGGGAAAAAAAAGAAGGAAATACTGGTTGATGAAGAGAATGAGAGAGAGAGGGGGGGGGGGGGGGAGAAAGGAGAGGGAGAGACGAGGAAGGCAGGAAAGAGCGGACGGGCCGGGGAGGGATAGCTTAGTACAGACAGGAGATGTGGACAGCAGAAGCATTAAGGGTGGGGGAGAAAAGGAAAGGTGGGAATGGAAGGGGGTGTGTGTGGTGTGAACGAGATACATTCGGGTGTGGAGGAGGTGAGTCCAGCCTCTGGAGAGAAGGGCATACGCTGCCAGATTGCTTGGGTTAAGGTTCTGCGGACCAGGTTCCACGTATAGCCCAGGAGGAATAATAAGAAAAACGAACAGAGGGATGCGAATGAAGGAGTCACTTGTCAATGTTTCAGCGGTGTTAAGTAAGGAGTATATACAGCAATCTCCTGTCTGATAGGTGGTACTGAGAGGCTGTGCGGCATCTTGGAATTGCGGGATCGCATCTTCACCGGAGGGGTGATATGGAAGTTTGCATCTGCTCAAATCTGGAGAAAGAGAGGGGGGTGGAAGTAGCATCTAATTACGTACCAAAGGGAAAAACAGGGGAAGAATCAAATACAGTGCTGAAAAAAACACACTTAGGAGTGGAGTACAATGATGTACTAGCGAAGTATCACCTCGCAGTATACTTCAAAAAGAACCGTTTCAAGAATCATCATCTGGCAATTATTGGTCCAGGTAGCAAGGCTTGTCTACTGGTGTCGAGAGACACGTGCAGCCACCTCGATCAAGGGCCTTTTAAGAGGTGAAGAGATTACGTGAGTGAATTCGAGTTCATGTCGAGGTTTGATTTAGTTTCAAAGGAGAATGTAAGGACCCCTTTTTTGTCGGAGGGAGATGGTTGTGTTCAGGTATGTTAAGAGAGGGATGGGGATGGGGGGAATGGATTAGACAGAGGGCAAAGGGGGAAGGATACCGGACCGAAAGGATGGAGGAGAAGGAGGAGTTAAAGTGATAAGTAGCAAGAGGAGTGGACCGGGGAGGGTATGAGGCCTGACGGAACGGGAAGACAGCCACAAAAGGAGTGGCAAGTTGATTCTGTTAAAAGGCCGAGTCAGTCTTTGGACGCGAGATCTCATCCAGTTGGTCCATCGCATACAAATCCGGTGGTTGCTAGGGGGGAAGGGGAACAACTTCTTTTTCTATATAGTGTTAACCGCATTTTACTTGATTGTTATTATATGAACAGTATAGGAGACAGAAGCCCATTAAGAAAAATTAAAACTGCCCACCCGAAAATAAAGAAGTTAAAATTGGTTCTAA